TCCTTTGTTGGGAGGTGTTAGCTGGGTCTGACTCAAACCCGCTATGTCTGGCCTGTGCGGTTTCGTTTTCCATTTTAAAATATTTTTTAATATTATTTTTAATATTATTTTTTAATATTATTTTTAATATTATTTTTTAATATTATTTTAATATTATTCTTAAATAATACAAAAAAAATATTCTAAAAATTCGTTAATAATTACAAAATTTCGTAAATACCAAAACTTTTTTTGGAAAAGTTTTGTAATTATTTTAAATATCGAAACAAAAAAACACCCCAATTACAAAACGATTTTAGAAACAAATTTTTTCTTGATCAAACAGGCCAATATATATCTGTAATGGCAGTGTGTGAGTGTGTACACACCATTAAATTTCTGTTGTGGGAGGCTAGATACGCCAGTTAAAATTAATATATGTATTGCCTTACTATATTTTCTTTTGAAGGGAAGGTGCTTTTAGTGATCGGCTTTCTCTTTCATTGCATCTGGGAAACAAGGAAGCAATTTAATCCTCAGCAATCCTTTTATATTGACAACTTTGTTTTCAAAGTTCTTTACTCTAATGGCCCTCTCTAGACCACACTGCTTGTTCAGTGACTCCCTAGGTGACTGTCAATTGTCAGGCTGCATTTAGTCTCATATATTCAATCTCTTCAGGCATCTGGCACACACAGAAAACATGGCACTGTGAAGCTGCAGGAATCGCAAAGGAAATAATACACTTCACAATGCCACAAAAGCATGGAAATGCAAGTAAGCTGTTTAAAACATTCCACCAACCAATAAGCAATTTACCATTGTTCAGTTGAAAGGCAATCCTATGTTCTTAGCCCTCCTGAAAGCTTCTCCCAAACTATATAAACCCATGCATACTTCCCATTTCTACTGAAATCAATAAGCCTCGATTCTGAAGAAATTGAATTCCTTGAATTCCCAAAGGATTCACATGATCACAAATATAATTAACTCGTATTTGCTTATAGTTAATTCTGTTTTTGAAAAAATTATAGAGGAGCCTCCTTCAGGGTCTCTATACTCTCTGTGGAGTATAGAGGAGCCTCCTTCAGGGTCTCTGTGAATCCACATATTGACTGCTTTGTGTCTAAATAGAGCTCCTCAGAAATGTGTGGAACTCAAGAGAACATTCAGTGAAGGATGCAAGACAGTAAGTTTCTTGCCCTTTTTGGCTTCTGCAATGATAACCCATTTTCAGGTTCACAATGAATTGTTTTGTGAGGCATTATCTCCTTTCCCTGTTTCCTCCTCAGGTACCACTGTGTTGGTATTGTTGCTATTCTTACTTGGGTTTTCTCTTCTCTTGAGCCCATTTATTTCTTTAATCACAGAATCTTTGGACTCATGGGACTGTGTTGAATAATCTTCTCCTTGGAGTTCACAGCCTCTGAGACCTTTTGTTTAAGTCTGTTGGATGTAATAAGACTTGATAACAAGACATCCACCACTTCTGCCTCCTTGGTTTAGAGGAGGGGCACATCATAGAATAGTGCAAATATCATCAGGATTTTATGAACACTTGGGATCTGTCTGTATAAACTGATGTTTTCTGGTATGGAAGGTTCTACTTTCTGTTTCTGCCTTCTGCCATCTGTTGAACAACTAGCTTGTCCTTCAAGATATTGGACTGTATCTTTCTGAGTCCATCACTTATTATTTCCTCCCCTTGACCTGACATTGGCACAGAAACCAGGCTTCACCTTGTCTATACCTTTGACAACAGAACACAGATCAGACCCTAAAGGTGGTCTAAAATCCCACAAATATATACCCTTGTACATTGTTACTGAGATTGTTGTTAGAGAAAGAGTCTGTCCATGCAGTTATGCTGTTCTAAATTTTTATCTCTGGGTTGTTGTAGGGTTTTTTGGGCTATATGGCCATGTTCTAGAGACATTCTCTCCTTTTTATCTCACTTTTATCTATCTTGTGTATTTTCATTTGAAATGTCTTATGGCTGTTAAGAGGGTATTGTACAACAAGCAAAATTCAGATGTATGTTTTTATAGTAAAACATTTTATTAATATCTGAGAAAAGTGATTTTTTTTAAAAAAAAGTAGATATTTTGGGTGGATACTTTTTATAGTTGTAGTAGATACTTTTATAAGTAGATTTTTTTTTATAAGTAGATACTTTTTATAGTTGTAACCAAATACTTTTCTAAGTAACATTCCATATTCTGGATTTGCCCACTAGTACCTCCTCATTTTTTTGCCTCCTGCTGTGTATTGTCACTGAGATTGTCATTCTTAATTTCATGCACACACATCTGCATTCAGATGTGTTCAAAACAGCCGTTATGTATAAGCTGACATAGCATCATCCTTTATAGGAAGTAGCAACAGGAGGTATACCATAAGGGCAAGGACCCCATGCCCACAGTTTGTTCACTTCTTGTTCACCCTTTTACACAGCCCCTTCACTAAATAATACATTTCATGATCATTTTCACTCAGGTCAGATTTGCATACCCCCTTTTTAAAGAAAACCTCAAACAATTATTATTGTGAACATAATAAAACATCAAACTTGGAGCTCTTTTCAGTTCTTTCTATCTTTAACTTCCTTTTGTTTAAGTAAATCTATTTTCTGGCTGAATTGTGTGTAAATTGTACCCCATGGAGAGCCATTCAATGATCAGCGAAAAAAAGTGTTGAATGCTTTGCTTTCCTACATATTTTTCATTGTATCCTGCATGACAGGCGAAAAGCGGGGATTGACATAAGAGCCTACATTTATTGTTTAGAGCCACTCTGTTTTCCGCTAGGAAATTTGCAAGATCAGAAAATATGCTAACATTTCAGTGAAGTGAAACTGGCAGGTCCACAGAACTTAAGTCACTTGAAATTCTATTTTGTTTCCTTTTATCCTTTTTCTTCTATACTGGAATTACAAACAATGAAAATCACATGTAAGTTATATTTTTATGTTATGATATACAGTCATAAGTTTTACTAATCCCTTATTACCAATTTAAAATTGTGTTTTAGAAGCTCACAGTGAACAGAAAGTCAAGAAGAAGTGTAGTAAGTCTCTTGTTTCAATGGATTAATAAATAAAAAATAAAATCTCAAGTCATGTTTTGGCCCTAGTTTGAAATTAACTTGGCTTTTCTCAATGAAAGAGCCCCCCTATCGATGTCAAGAATGATCTCTAAGAGCAAAAACAGTGAACAACCAGGTTACTGGAAGTGAACAAAGATCTGCACTTTTCACTTTTTTACCTAACTATAATTACATTACAATATAATTCATAGGTTTAATTTGCTATGTACTAACATGGCAGTGAAATCCAGCATGGTGTAGTTGTTTGAGCATTGGACTGATTCTGGAAACAAGGGTTTGATTCCCTGCTTGGCCATGGAATCCCACTGGGTGAGTCACACAGACCAAGAAGACAGTCCTTAAGATCACCATAATCCATAACTGACTTGAATGCACACAACAACAACAGCAGCAGCAGCAGCAACAACAACAACAAGCATGGAAGCAGAATTACATAGCCACAACGAGAAAAAAGAAAAGAAAATCCAAATGGAGGTAAAGCTAAACTTGTTAATTTCCAATACACATCACTTCGGTATAAATCTTGTATGAGGTACAGTTACATGAAATATCAATATGGGTTTACCAAATTTTGTAGCAGTCATGTCAAACATTTGATTGCATTCAGTTCATAATTCACTGCATTGTAACTCTGAAGGTGATAATACACAGTATTTAAAATCCTTCAGATTACTTTCTAGTAATGCAAATCAAAAACATTCATATACTTAAAACAAAATGAAAAGAGGTTGAAGAGATGGCATGGTAGGAATATGGGCAGGACCATTCCCTCCCTGATTCACAAAATGTTGTATCAGCTAAAGCAGCAAAATCAAACACTCCCAAGATATCGCATAACTAATTATAACACCATTGGGTCAAGGAAGAACATAAAGAATTATTGTTGCTATTGTTCATTGTATTGTCAAAGGCTTTCATGGCTGGAATCACTGGGTTGTTGTAAGTTTTTTGGGCTGTATGGCCATGTTCCAGAAGCATTCTCTCCTGACATTTCACTGCATCTATGGAAAGCATCACAACCTCTGAGGATGCCTGCCATAGATGTAGGCGAAACATTGGGAGATAATGCTTCTGGAACATGGTCATACAGCCCGAAAAAAATGCTTATTGTTGTTGTTGTTGTTGGCTTCCCCCTGAGCTAGCATCTGACATGCCAAAACCATTGGAATGGACACTGCTCAACTCCCCAAACAACTGTAAAACAGCCACATCTCCAACAAGAAATTCAGTGTCACATACACAAACCACATAAAACCACTCTCCTGGGAGTATCAGAATACATGATGTCTGGCATAGAGCCATTTCCTTTTTCTCAGGATTCACAGCCTTGATCTCGCACCTTATAGTCCATCTTTTTGCTATTATAGGGAGAGGGCATTTTGACCTCTCTCTCTTTCTCTCTCTCTCTCTCACACACACACACACACAAATCCAAGCAACTGTCACCTACCTAAAGTCTATGACAAGGTTTTATTACTATACATTCATGAATACGTTTAAAATTTTTAGTAAAAAGTCAATCCAATAAACCTGGGTCAATTTATCTATGGGTCCATGTTACTACTGTACCTTAACTCTTACCAAAAGAAAAAAGAAAACATCTTTTCCTCTGGGTCGAGTGGCAAAAGGCAATAGCTTAGTCCATCCTGAGAGAACCTAAAAGAACTACCTTTACTCTTTCCACTGTAGTGCCACTTCTGACCTTTTTGAATGTCTTGGGAGCAAATAACATTGGGCAGACTGGCCCTCTTAAATGGCTTTGATACTTTCCCTTCTCCTTAGAATGATCTCGACTTATCCATGAGTCATATAAAAATCCACCATTTTTATTCCAAAACATGCCCTCAACTTATACATGAGAAAAACATGAAATTATAACTGTCGGTATGAAATATAAATTTTCAAGCATTTTGTACCTTAGACCAGTCACCCATTCTCCAAACATAGCATTTGGAGTAATCTTCACAGTCTTCTGCTTCTCTGGGCCTTGTAGACAAAACACACTTCTTCCGAGGATTGGTGCATCTCACAGTCCGATGTCGTACACCTTTTCCACATTTTACTGAACACTGTTGAAAGATACTAAAAATGCACCAAGGTACATACACACTACCAATACCAATGCTCCTTGTAGGAATCCATAGTTAATAATAATAAAATGGTAATGTTTTTAAAAATCTTTAAAGCACAAAGAAATTAATTAAGTACATATAAAACAATAATACAGGATAAAGGTGACCAAATAATATTCAGTGTCACAACTCTGTCACACAAAGTTTATAAACTGCAAGGAGACCTGCGCTGTGAGGTCTAAAAACCTCTCCTGGGGCCAGGAAGTTTCATCTAATCAAAGCCTGATTCAGTACTTAAAATCAGACCTTACTGATCTTCCCCATGATACAGCCTTTGTGATTAGAAGCAATATAAAGGAACCCAATTTATATGGCAGTTTGTCTAATGTATTTATACCAGATGTGTTTTATTCTGCATTTTCACACATAAGCCACAAATTGAGACAACTGTCTTAGGCTTAATTAGCCATGTTTTGCCTGAAATTTATTTACCACCACCAACAACAAAAAACTATATTTATATCCCACCACATCTCCCAGTGGAGACTCACTTTTACCAGTATACTGTCTTTTACCAGTATACTGTCCCTTTACCCTTGCATTGCTCCACACTTTGCATGAGTGGGCAAGAAGCTAGACCGAACTAGTATATCCGTCTAAGCTTTGAAGTCAGCTTTTGAGTCATAAATTATTTTGCTATTCATTAAATATAGGTTCCAATTCAGAATTAATGAAAAACATCTTTTTTTCATGTCAGGAGCGACTTGAGAAACTGCAAGTCACTTCTATCTATCTATCTATCTATCTATCTATCTATTTATTTATTTATTTATCGTGTCATCCACAGTCACTTCTGATGTGAGAGAATTGGCTGTCTGCAAGGATGTTGTGCAGGGGATGCCCAGATGTTTTGATGTTTTACCATTCTTGTGGGAGGCTTCTTTCATGTCCCTGCATGGGGAGCTGGAGCTGACAGAGGGAGCTCACTGCAGCATATAACCATATGTCATATGGTTATATGACATATTCATGAAAAAGAATTCTTTTTCTGTAGTTGTGCCTGGCTCTGGAATGGCCTTCCCAATGAGATGCAACTGTCTGCAACATTACTATCTTTCTGGACAAAGATTTATTTATTTATTTTGCCATTTGTAATTATAAAGGATATGCTTCTGTTTGGTTTACTTTTTAAATCTACTGGGCAGTGGAACCTTAGAATCCATCAAAGAAGGGGAAGTTCAGAAAATATACATAAGTGAAATATTTAAAGAAATAAGACATGCCAAAGAAAGCTTATACTGCACCTCTGACCACACTCCAGCCTCCCACACTGTCATGCAGTCTTGACCTTCACAACGCTGAGCTGCATTGGGTTTGGGGATGACACAGTCCCTCTCCTGGGCTCGGATCAAGGTCCCATTTCTAAGTTGCTGAGTACAAGCTACCTGTCTATTCTGAGTTCCCTTCCCGCATGTCCTTGAGCATGGTGTCCATTCCGTCATCATCCATCTGTACAAAAACAGAAAAGAACTTATCGAGGAACTGACTTCCTGTTGGTGTCATACACACACACACACACACATATATATGTTCTTTTTTTGATGGATGTGTTGTTTAGCTAAAAGCTATGAGAGCAAAGTAACACATGTGTTGCCACATCATGATTTATTTTATGCTGCACAACTCATATTGCACTTGATTTCATGTTTGTGCATTTGCATCAATGTGCAGTGCACATTTGGTTGAGAAATATTACAGTTCTGTAACAAGATAACTTGTTATCAATTATGTAACTTAACATCTCCTTGAAAGTTATACTACATCTCTTCTGTGTAGGATTTTAGCTAAGATCTTTCTACTCGGTTAATGTTGTATTATTTCTGCAAAATATTTTCTATTCTAGTTCAATTTTAAAATAAATTTAAACCTATTGCAGAAATAGCAATTTGCTGCTCACAGCAAAACTACCTCTGACAGTGATCCCAAACATCTATGATTGCTTCCTCTATATAGCACAAAATCTTAATGATGACAACATTAAGGAATTGTTTATCAACATCAATTTTAATTTTCTATTATAATGAGTATATGCTTCTTAATTGAAAGAATTCATTAATTTTACCCCACAGGATTAAAGAACAAAGGCATTATTTATATATATTCTAGAAATGATGCAGATACCTGATGACCAATTAAAGACTCACAGGCCACAAGGACCCACATCTTACATCCTCACATAATCTTCTAGGTTGTGATGCTTAGTATTTTCTCTCAATGCCAAAGTATAGGACATGTCAGAGACCTCTCTGTTATTTCAAAAGTCTCTGTAGCATCTTGTCATTTCATTTGGTGAGTCCACCAGATCAGAAAATCCCACTTCATATCTGTCTGAATCTCCATTATTTGACTTGTATCACCTTGTCTGGCACGGCTGTTCATTGCACTTTCGGACTTGTGGCTCAGGTTTTGTTAAATATTTGCATTTCCTGTTGTCCACAAAACTGATATTCTTATTCATAATCTTTGTGCAAGATACTGTTGTCTTTCTTTCTCCTAGTAAGACACAAAACAAAGGTTTATAGAACTACAGGAAACTTTTATTAAGTTCCTCATGCAACTGTTTTCATTAAAATACTGGCCAGGGGCCAAAGAACGACTTCATGCATAGTCAGCTCTTCTTCCTTTGAATAGCAGTTCCTGTTGTGATATCACAACCCTCCTTTGAAAGTTGCTTCAGTTTCAAAAGAGATGTGCCATGCAACATACGGATCTGTCTTTAGAGAAACACAAACCCCCTTTGGGCATAAAGAACTAGCTCTGTCATTCTTTTATTCCAATCACTGCCTTGAATGGTTTTCAAATGGCAAGAAGAAAAATAAGGAACTATTTGAAAAATTAGGCTCCAGCACATGAATTTTCCCCCAAATATTTTTATTTTAAAAAGATCTACATTCTAAAATGAGCTTAGAAAACATGGAGTACACTATTTCCATACAAGCAGAACATCGAAACAAGGAATCAATTTAGAATGAAATAAATTTAATATGAACTCCCTTACTCTCTTATTCTACAATACTTACTGTTGTCTAGTACATTCTGCAAAAGTCGTCTTTTGAAATTTCCCCCCAGAAATTGTAAAAATTAATTGTGTGAATTTAAAATGCATTCTCTTTAAGAATACTTTTGTTTTTGAAGAACCGTTTGTAAAAAAAATACAAGATTTTCTAAACTCCTATAAATAGCATCAAGCATTACATCCTTTACCACAAATAAAAGTGCTAAATTGCCATGACAATCATAACCATTGCTAAGTATACAATTATGTAAAATCACTATTCTGGAACAAATGTGTTATTTATTATAATCTTCTTCTACTCTTTTTGACTTTAGGAACTGAAGGCACAATGCTGCAATATCAAAATTTTGCCTTCTGGAATATTGCATAATGGGTAACTGCAAATATAAGAAAAAGTGAGTGGGAATTTGTTAAAAATGATAATAATGAACCTTGGCAACTATATTACAGAAGATCAGATTAACCATAGCAGCTATATTATAACTGCTTTACATATGAATAAGGATCAATACAAAAGGGAAAGCAGTATGTGTTGTCTTAAAAGAAGGAAGATAAAATATTATATATAAATAAGTAAATTACAGAAGACTACGGACAGGCTGAAATGTTCTTCTCTATTTTGGCAATACATTCGTGTGGAGCAAAAGAGGGTTAAGGGTAAACGGTTGTGAGATAATATCATTGTTTGAAGCAAACAATGACTGCTCCCCTCAAAAAAAGTAACAATCTGCTCCTCTCAGTAAATGATATCCAACAAAAGTCTCTAGAGTGGACAATGCTTTTTAGGGGTCTTCTAGGAAAAGATGACACCCACTAAGAGCACTAGTGCTGCTTCTAATGTTAAAAAGAATGCAATGACCACACACACATATGAAGAAAGTGGGTGAACAAAATATTACACCAAGAGATTTTGTTTACGTTGTATAAACTAGGATGCCATAAAAAACCCAGACTTTAATATATCTGATTAATCTGCTGAAGTATGGCACTATTTTCATGAAGTCCCACGCATACTTTAGAGAACTTGGATTTCAACTAAAGAAACTGACTGAGAGGTAAGAAGTGCTTCTCTTTCAATAACTTAGAATTCTTACGTAGACCTGGATTTTCACTGTTACATAATGCACTTCCCTGTATTGCTAATAAAATGTTTTTATTTTTCCATGACAACAGTATTAGCACTTTTTTTCATGTCAGGAGCAACCTGAGAAACTGCAAGTCGCTTCTGGTGTGAGAAATTTGGCCGTCTGCAGGGTCGTTGCCCATGGAATGCCTGGATGTCTGACATTTTACCATCCTGTGGGAGGCTTCTCTCATGTCCCTGCTTGGGAAGCTAGAGCTGAGATGGGAGCTCACCCCGCTCCCCAGATTTAAACTGCTAACCTGTCGGTAAGAAGTTCTGCCAACACAAGCATTTAAGCCATTGTGCCACCAGGGACTACTAGTATTCACACTATGGTTATATAAATAACAACAAGGATTCAAAAATTGAAGAACAGACAATTTACACATGACACAGATTTTTAGGACACTATTACCTCCTCCACATACAGCATCACAGTCCTCCCAACCTGAATGTGTCCACATAAAAAGTGGTTCAGATACTTTTGAGCTCTGGTTCTCAGGGATGGGGTCCAAGGGAATAGTGTATTCATAGTGTAGCCCATAATTTTGATCTTGAAAAAGGAGCACCTGCAGTATATAAAGAATTAAAAGCTGATTGCCAAGATGTCACAGAGAAAACTCTCACACACACAAAGGAAAGAAAGAAATTAGGAGAGGGCAGTACAGCTCTGGAAGAAAACACATACTTGACATGCATAACATCCCAGTTTCAATCATCAATATTTAGTGTTAAAAGGATTTCTGGGAGCAGATCTTAAAAGACTGATGTCCCCAAGAGCTACCCTCAGAGGCAATAAACATGTCAGATGGATCTATGGTCTTAATCATAATAAGATAACTTAATCTGTAGAAAGGAAAATTGCTCGTGCTGCTCACCATTTGAATTTCAACAAAAGACATGTATGTGATATGTTCAATGTCTTGTATATTTATTTATTTATTTATTTATTTATTTATTTATTTACTGTATTTGTATATTGCCTTGTATATAAAAGGAAAGGGCTAAGCATTCTCTGTATATGTAACAGTAGCACATGCAAGAGCTAATGTGAAATATAAACAGAAGTTCAACATCTTAAAAAGGCTACTTTTATATATAATTCCACATAAACCATAGTTAACTTTGTGTTTATTATAACAGCAATTGAGGAATAAAAGAGATCAAGTGATAATTCCTTAATTAGTTTTCTGGAAACCTGAGCATATTATTTATATTATGTGGGCACTCCAAAGCACTTAGTCATCCTACAGCAATGTAGAAAAATGCATTTATTTATTACATAAGAGTATAATCGATCTCTATTTATATGAATACAACCTCTTAGAATCATTAAATTGCACAACAATTTAAGACATCCAATAATTCTACTGCTTCAGTAGTGTATTTTATAAATATATTTGAATTGCAGAGGAAATTTAATTCATGAACAAACTCCTGCTACATCACAATCCAAAGTGTGGATCTGCACTTTGTGGTTCACAGCAATGTTCTTTTTAGTTAGACAAGTTTACCAAACTTCATTTTTCGTTGCTCAACTATCTCACACTATTTTACTACTCATCTCTGTGTAGGGGACTGATTTCATTTAAATGGAGAGAAATACAGAGAGAAACTTTTGAAGTGGGAGCTTTATTTCAAATCAACACAATATATAAGCCATTCATTCATTACAGCATTGAGCCTATCTGAAACTGTGAAGAAAACATTTCACAAACCACACATCTCTGAACAAATTGTTTGCATTGCGCTACTAATTCTGAACACAGATTAGTTTGGCTTTTCATCGGCATATTTATTATAGTTTTTAGCTTAAAATAGTTTCAAATAATGATCCACAATACCATACCAATAAATGTAAAGGTGAGGTTGTTGGACCTTTAGCAGAGATCTTCTCCCACAGACCTCTCCTAACATATTGGACAGTGGTACCAGCAATGTTGAATGTTCCAGAATGTTCTATCTTCCAGTCACTATTAATAGACTGTTTGCCAGTATCTCGAAGAGCTGCAGATGCAATGGAAACAGTACAGAAGAAAATGGTTCATTTCCCCACATTTTGCTACTGTTCTATCTGATAGACACCTCAAGACTCATAGATAGGGCCTGTATTAAAAGTTATTTATGGTTCATAAACACAAACATTTATTTATTAAATTTATATTCCATCTTTCTATCCAAATGAAATTTGAAGTGGTAAAGCACGTATTTATTTATTGCATTTATATATCACTTTTCTCACCCCTGGGGGGACTCAAAGTGGTTCACAACATAATCAATCACAAAATGAATATCTCACATGTATAAAACATCATATATCAAATCAAAAACATGACAATAGATTTGAACCATTAAAACTATAAAACTATAAAATTTATTTGCCCTCTTTTAGCCCATTAAGCATATAGAAACTGTTCATGAACCTTCACAGCCCCAGCTGACTCAGATGATGAGGAAATGTAGTCCTAAGTGTCATCAGCATACTAATGTCACCCTACCATGGATGATGAAAGATGGTTTCTATTAGAAAAGTTCTTAAGCTTCTATGACTAGGAAGATTAATTATTTTGGCCTGTCTATTTACTAGTTTTGGGAGGTAATCATTCAAGCTTCCAGTCATCAACCTAGACGTTTAACTCATACACTTTAACACCTGTGTCTGAAGAAGCTGCAGCTTACAAAATTAAGTTGTGATTTATAAGCCTGCAAATACCTGATCCGTTTGTGTTTCAGACATATTTTACATTTGCATATATTTCTCAACATGTCTAACTACAGGCAGTCTCTGAGTTACAACATCCGACTTGCAAATGACTCATAGTTAAGAATGGGGTGAGACAACAGGAAGTGAGAGAAATGTACCCCTCTCGGAAAGGAAAAAAAATTCTGAAAGAGTTATCATGGGGAATAGAAGTCTCAGCTGACGTTTTATCATCAATCCTTGTTTCCACAACAAGCCAAATTTTTCAAAATTCAATTATCACAGGGACAGAATAGCGATGAAATCTTTTGAAGAAGGAGACAGACATCAAAACAAATTCCACAGTTAATCTTTTCAAATGCTATCCCAAGCTTTTATATAGATCGATCGATAGATAGATAGATAGATAGATAGATAGATAGATAGAGAGAGAGAGAGAGAGATGACTGGAGTTACATTTTTAAAAATGTACCTGTTCCAACTTACAAACACATTCAACTTAAAAAAATGTACAGAACCTATCATGTTTGTAATTTGGGGACTGCCTTTTTCCCCCAGCGAACTCTCCCCTTCTAGGCCAGATCAATCTTCACAAGCATTTAATGAGGTCAAATTAGATAGACAACAAGCAACTGAGGTGACATGTACTTTTCAGGATTTTTAATTTCTCATGTGACTCTTTAGACTGTCTCAGACCCTTAAGCAGGAATTTGAAGTGCAATAGCTTTAAAGACATCTTCCGGATAAAGTTGTCTTAAACATTCTTTCTCACTAAAATTCCATGCTTGGCATCCATGATGTGAAAGTGCCTCAATCGCTCAGTCCTTGCCCAAGTTTCTTCATAAAGTTGTATGTTAATGTGAGTCATTCCTGGCAATCAACCGTTCTCCTATCCATATTTGTACTGTTTTGTTATGTTTCCATGGGAAACAATGGCAAGAGCACCATCAACTGGCAGCAATACAACTACTCTTTCCAACACTCATGCATGCCACTAAGGCACAGGACAGTGAACAGTGCAAAATGCTCTAACATCCTTGCAACATTCAATAATGTTACAGTTCTGACAGCTGTATTTTTCTGTTGCAATATCTTCACATTTATAAATATTCTGTTTAACAGTTGAATAGAAGTGCATAGTTCTCCACCCAATGGGCAAGCATACAAAAACATACTTGATTTAGTGCTACAGTGTTTTTTATTGTCTTTAGTTGTCAAAGTGAAACTCAGACAGAATAATTTTCAACAATCAAATTATCAGTTTGAGATGTTGACCTTTAGAAAAAGCAAAACTGGCACATCTAATACTTCTAGGAAAGATTTCTCTTTGTCATAACTGCATCTTGCAGACACATAAGGAAAGCTTAAACCTATTAATACCCAAGTTGTAAATATGAATTTCCAAGGGCCACATGAATTTCCAATGGGCTTCTAGCAAATGCTATCTCACAACTTCTGTATAGGCTGTCACTATGAACAACTCTCTTATTCCGTTTCAGTTTCAAGTGTTCATTTTTTAATTTATTTCGTATCAAAAGCATTGCATAAATTAGTATAAAATCGATAAAAATAGAAGGAGCACAGGTGGCTAAATATCTTTTGACCAAAAATAGGCAACAGCAATGGCATTGTCTGTGGCCTCCAACAATTCTTCCTCTGTACATGAGGCAAGGCATAGTGGACAAGCATACAGATGCAGAGTTGTCTGTTCTGCTCCACAGTCACATAAGATGTGGGATTCTTTTAGATATTTGTTCATAACACTTCCTTTAAAAACTGCCGATAATCTCTTACCGTAGGTCTATATATCTATGAAACAAAATGAAAAATAAGATTAAAACCTACTGCTTCTTAAGCATTGGTGCAAGGATCATCGGAGACTACATGATGAGATGAGAGAAAATTATGGTAAAAATAGGGTTGCTGCATGGAGAAAATGATAAAAGATCACACTGGTAGATTCAAGTTCTCTATGGGACTAGATGTCTTATTTTTACAGCTCACACAAAACATGGTCTCTTGGGGCCAAAGACTGTTTGCAGATCAATAATCAACAACTCTCTTCTCCAGATTATGAATTATTCTCCTGTAATTTGGTTTATATAAGAGAGCCCCAAAATAGCTCTGCTTCCCTTTTTTTATTGACAATGGGATTGTACCAGTAAGTACAGAAATGGAGGGGAGTGTGTGTTAAGAACTTCTTTAAACAAACTAATCAGTGTTTCTTGGGTTTCTCTTAAGAGCCAAGGATTGTCATGGTTGAGAAGGGTGAAAAATTTCCAAGCTTTTATTCTGTATTATCAAGAGTGAATAGGTAGACATAAGCAATCAAAATAACTACTCCACTATAGAACAAATGTTTCTTTATTTCTTGGACAAAGGAGCTAGGTTTGGGTAGTTAGATTGTCCACATAAGGTCAATAACTAGGAGCCTCTGGTGGAGCAATGGGTTAAACCCTTGTGCCAGCAGGACTGCTGACCAATTGATCAGTGGTTCAAATCTGGAGAGAGTGGGTTGAGCTCCCTCTGACAGCTCCAGCTCACCATCCAGGGACGTGAGAGAAGCCTTCCACAAGGATGGTAAAACATTAAACATCCAGGCAGCTCCTGAGCAATGCCCTTACAGATGGCCAATTCCCTCACACCAGAAGTGACTTGCAGTTTCTCAAGTCACTTCTGACTGACACACACACACACACACACAAAGGTCAATAACTGAAAAAGACCCAATCAAATGTAAAGAGAGGAATGCATAGTTATTTTGTACCAAATGGGTCATCTAAATCAGAAAAAATTAAGTGATTGCATCTTAAAGTTGTTTTAGGCAAATCATAATGAACTATTGCAATATTTCTCATCATGGAACAATGCTATTGAGAAGTCCTATTAGCATGCAGACCAGTTGAGCTACATAATATTGCATGGTCATGGATGTAACTATGGCAGAGATCTTGTTTTCATCACTTGTAGCACAGATCTTCTGTGTTGGAAATTAATTCTGTAGTTGAAGCTGAAGGCAGAAAGAAACTGTGATCAGTCTGCTAAGCACAGCAATCAAGATATGGATGGGATGAGCAGAAGAATTGCAGGGATACCACATTGCAGGGGAAGTGGCCAGAAGAGAGAAGAGCAGGTACCAGCATGTGCATTGAGAAGGAATAACTGCCAATAGACAAATCCTGCACAAAATACTTGGTTGGAGCTCTTTTTGTGTTGTTAATTGTGTATAGCAGTATTTCTTAAACTGTGCTCTACCAGGTGTTGTGGCCTTCAGCTCCCAGAAATTCCAGCCAGCTTACCAGCTGTTAGGAATTGTAGGAGTTGAAGTCAAAAACATCTGGAGGAGAAGAGTTTGAGAAACTGGTGTAGAGAGTAGCAGTGGTGGGGATGGAGAGACAGTGCTACAAACCTCATCCTCACCCTAGTTAAAGCTTAGAATGTGTTCCTCCCATTAAAGGATATTTCCCCAGCCCCTCTCCTCCTCACACTTCTAATTGGGCCACAACTTCCTTCCATGTCAGGCCTGCTGTTGTCATACTCTGCCAAATACATTCCCACACAACAAAGAAGCCAAAGTGTATTGACATAAACAGACACAGATGTGGAGTAATATGGTCCATATTTAAAATTTTCCTTTACAATAGTTACAGTTTAGTCATAGATGCTAACAGTGTCATTTCAGGAAAATGTGTTATATGAATTGAAACCTTTCTGTGACCTTTACTATGTGAAATACATCATGAAACATTTGGAGAATACACATTTGTTTTGAGAAGGGGTTGGGGGAAGTGAACATACTTTGTTTTTATTTACTCTAAAGAGAATATTATGTTTGCCATCTTCTCAAGAAGAAATCTGGATGTGCCAAAATGCTGCAATACATTTTCTTAAGCGTTTAAAAACTAAAATTTTACCTAACCTTGCCTGCCTTACTAGGAAACTGATTTCCCATCAAGGAGCACCTATTTGCATCTGGTTAAATGACATACAGTTGGTTCAAGGAATTAAAGAAATTAAAATGTATAGGGTTTTAAAGGAAACCCTTTATATTTATGAATTTAAAATATATAACTACCTGAACTAATTGCATTCACTTGCACTACATATCAATTTTGCACCTACAGTTTTGAAAAAAAAAATGAAAAATTGAAAAAAGAAATTTGGTACAATTTACCAAATTATGAAAATGTCTTCATATCAATCGACACAGCTTTGGTTACTTAACTCTTAAAATTCCGAGTCTGAATCCTGATATTAGTGCTAATTTTGTTTCTTACTTCTTTTTTTAAAAAACCTTTATCTGTAAACTGTCAAAATGTAATTAAAACATGTGTTCCCATGACAATATTGACATATGGAGGAATAAAAACATTTAAAAATAAAATAAACTTTATTTATATTTATGCAATAGACCCTAGCCACCATACACAAAATCAGAAGCAAATCCAGGAGCATAACTACTTAATTGTCATCTATTCACTGGTTTCCAGATATTGTTGGATTACAAATATCAAAAGATCTAGCCAGATAGCTTGGCCTTCTAGAAGTTGTAGTCCAACATCTAGGGAGTCAGATCAAGGTTCTACTATGTTTAGAGAGGAAAATGTGCTAAAGATGTGGTTATCTGATTAGATTTCTTTCTTTTTTACCGCTTTTGCTTGATATCTGTTAAATCTGTGACCTCCCTTAATAACACATTTAATATTAAGTTAACAACACATTATGTCTCCCAGTTTTTACAATTATAGACTGTGATTGTGTTTAACTTGAAAGAAAGCCCAATCAATTTCAAAGAGTCTTACACCCTGGTTAACGATCCAAAGGTTGTGACTGAAAAGAATTAAATGCCTGACTTTCTGTCTCCTCCTTTTGCCAACCTAGCTCCCACCATATATTTCCATAAGGCATAAGCAAATTGCAATTGCACATAACAAACCTTAAAACCCATTATTCTGGATATTTTCCAAAATATGTTTTCAGTTGCTGTCAATTGTGCCTATTTTGTCAGTGTTCTAAAATAAATTGGGAGCTTAGGCTTGGACTGCCAGTTTGTCTCTTCCAAAATTTAGCGGATCCTGTATTAGATTATAAGAGACAGCAAGTCCCACGGAGAATCTTTTGTTTCCATGTTTTACAAAACAATTTGAAAGCCGCATGAAAAGATCCTATAGAGTACAAACAATTTCATTACTTTTGCAACTTTTAAATCAATCACTACTAAGAACTTTCAAGAAACAAATACAATGTAATTCTTAGCAGAAACAAAATGTTAAGATTAAAATTGTACTAAGATTATCTGGAAATTTTTTGCCTGCTTTTTAAACAGTTAATCTTAAAAGTAACAATAGAAACTATAACAAAACAATAATATAACAGAAACAGGTTAAAAATGAAGATCTGACAGTAAAACAAAATCTTAGTATGCTCACAAATTAATAAAAATATACAGGAGAGAAACAATTAAATAACTTCAGTGACCTCACACAACTCTTGGGAGAACACTTGGGAGAACACTGGTGAAATCTATGTCCCAGACAGTATGTTAGATCTGACAACGAGCAAAGTCCAATTTTCCTTATACGGTCATATCAGAGACACAACATCTGGCTTTCTCCTGCTTATTTTTAATATTTAGATTCAGTCCAAATCACTTTAGACTGTGTGACCAAATTGGATCAATCTGATCTAATCCAGAGCTGGTACAAAACTAAACTGGCCTGGTTCATTTCTGAAGTTGGGATTTAGCCAACTAAGATTTGGCTGAAGGAAAAGGTCCTAACAGTTCATCAGCAAGGATAAAACTCTCATATCTGTTGCTCTGAGCTTGATAAGAGAAATCCAAGAAATAAGAATGTGAAGTTGAAATTGCACTTATCTTTTAACAACAGTATTTGCTGAAGAATCTCAGCAAGACTGAAACTACAGCAGGCAGTGCATTTAATATGGAGATTTGGGGTTTCTGGAGATGGTTCCCTGAGTGGTTTTCATGTCATATGTTCTGATGAATCTAAGTCTACCTTGACCTGTTTCATATCTTATGAACTAGATGTGTACACTATCCAGTAACTGACATTTTGGACTCCATAAGTTCAGTTATGAGTGATACCCATACACTTCAGCATGGATTTTATTAGGAGTTGGCAGCCCAACTTGCTTTGCAAGCCCACTTAAGTGCCAACAAAATAGTTTCCTACAGAAGCCTTGCACTTCACCATCCCTAAACCCCAGGTACAGTGAGCAAACATCAGGGATTGTGGAATAACAATCTAAAATCAAGGTACAAATCTAAACTGAAAAAGATAAACCATGGAAGTCAATTGAAATTTATTTCCAACAATAACACAACATCTGAAAAAAAAAATATGTTAGCAAACCAAATGTTTCTAAATAAAAGTCTCCCCCACCCAACATCATGTTCAGTCTAAGTCAGTAGTTCTCAACCTGTGGGTCCCCAGATATTTTGGCCTTCAACTCCCAGAAATCCTAATAGCTGGCATACTGGCTGGGATTTCTGGAAGTTGTAGGACAAAACACCTGGGGACCCACAGGCTGAGAACCACTGGTCTAAGTTATTGGAGAAGCAGAAATGAGAGACCTATGGTAGTTCCAGAGAGGACTTTAATTCAGGTCGTATCAGGTTTTTAAACCCGATTGGGCCCGCATTACAGTCCACACACACCCCAGAAAGCTCTTGTGTCCAGATGCCCTGCCAGAAACCACAGAAAACCCCCAGAAAAGCCTTACCCAGCTGGCATTTCCCTGTTGATGACCCTCTCCTGGTGCGTATAAATGATGTGCCAGGAGAAAGGGGCGGTGCAATTCCCCCCTTTCCCCTGGCGTGCCATTTCTACTGATGTCACCCTTCATTCCTGGACTATACGGTACATCTTGCCTTATTGCCTAGATTAAGATATTGGAGCAGACTACTGTTGCTGTATAGTGGTTTATCCCATTTCACTTCCTACTTGCAGTAAAGGCAAATACTAATTCTGGGATTCTGCACCATCTCAAAGGGGTCTGCAACAGTGCTCTGCCTTCTCTCTGGTGACTCACACTGCCTTTCCTCCATCCAATACTTAAGGAACAACAACAATTAAGGGCAATTTGGGATAGGGAAAGAAAATACATTTTGCTAAACATACAGACTAAATTACAGAAGAATTAACAAAACAGAGGACACTACACTATTCAGTGTAACCAAAGGATTAAAAAAAACACTAAGCAAAGAATAATGACGGTCAACAATTATCCACTACAAACATTAAACTCCGTCATGATCTGAACAAAGGGGCACCAAGAGAAAATATCTGATTATATAGCTTTAAGGACTTTACATAACCCAGATCTATAAACAATGTGACTAGTTAGTTAATAATTGCCCAAACTACACAATTAAGTGGTCAATCTGCAATGCCTAGTTTGCTTTATCTGCCTCTCCTCACTCCCCTGCCATCTCCTTATATGGCCAGGTTAGAAATATAGGATCTGCCCCCCCCCCCCACCTACTTTTGACAGCTGAGTTTCTGGACCAGACTAAAACCTGAAGCCTGTGCACAAGTTAACACAATACCACCTTGTCATTTGGCCATCTGATGGGCAGCCAAAACCAAAACTGGAATAAACAAACAAACAAATAGTATTTTTTGGTTGATTTTCCTAGTTTAGGGAGTGTTTTGATCCCATCAGCAATAGCTTAATGCTTAAATGTTTCCCAAGACTGGTGAAAAGATATTCCTATTACTTTTCCCAAAGTGATGTTGACAGGATCTCAAGGGGAGCTCTGGGATGTCCCAGGGTCACAAAACTGTAACCAGAGGGCCACAGTTTGCTAACTCCGATATATAAACTCTTTACCCCAATTGAAAGAAGTAAAAGTAGTAAAACTATCAAGTAATTCCAAAATGATAACTGAACTGTAACATATTCCAAAATCTGCTTCTGAGCTATTGAGAATAAAATGAAAGTTTATTGGCTGCCTCTCTGCCAATTTATATATTTATTTTGTCAGCTGTAAATTAAAATTATGGTGAAGATACAACTTACCTAAGTAGCTGTGAGCTGGTTTTTCTTCCACTACTTTGATTCTTCTTGCTCCTGCAGGTATCACCAATGCTTCTACATAACCTAATTATAAAGGAAAATATTCCACATGTGCATGACTGACAAACACAGGATATTCTAAAAATAGAATAATGATGAAGTACATGTTAAATTCATATGCACTTGTTAATGAAGTCTTGAAATACTTGACCCTGAATGGCTAACCATCTTTGAACTGACATTCTGGAATCTAGTATCCTGTTTTAATTGTGTGCTTGGTAATAATACTTACTTAAAGGACAACTGCTGCTGTGGAATGCCCTCTCCTTGGTGGCCCTATTGGCACAGATATTGGGTGTCAATATAAAGTCGAAAGTTAGCTTTTTATTCAGGTCTTCAAGTCTAATTGATTTTATCAAGGCTGTGCATGTGCTATAGTTTCACTATTTTAAATTGTTTAATCTGTTTTAAATTATCTAGTTTTTTAAAAAAATATATAGTTTGCTATATTTTAATTTTTAAAATTATTGCTGTTCATTGTTCCAATTTGATTTTATTGTAATCTGCACCAAGATTTCTAATATAGGCTAGATATTCATGTTGTAATAAAAAAAATTAAAGTGGAATCACCTAAAAGTATCATACTAAAACTTACTACTTGAATTAGTTAAATGACTTGGTCCAAAAGCTAGTTTAATGGAGGATGAAAGGAAGAAAAATCTTCATTTATTATTCATTTTAACAATGAATCTGCTTTGTGACAACATCCTATAGTGTCTGGGCATGTGTAGTTTTGGGGTCATTTGAGCTCTCTGAGTGAAGACTCAAAGGAGCCTTCCTTAAATTGAAAATCCCAGGATTCTATAGGACAGTTTTTCTCAAACTGTGTTCTTATAGGTGTTTTGGACTTCAGCTTCCAAAAATTCCAGCCAGCTTGCCAGCTGTCAAAAATTGTGAGAGCTGAAGTCCAAGACACCTGGAGGAGAACAATCTGAGAAACTTTGCTATAAGATGTTGCCATGGCAGTTAAAGGGGAATCATAGTGTTATAAGAGTGCAGTGTGAAAGGTTGCTGGCATTACTCATTTTAAGCTAGGGATCCCTTTTTACAAGTGCTGGACAGAAAGTTAAGGAGAACTGCTGGAATTGTACATCTAGGCAGCTGCTTGAACAGGAACCTGTGCCAGCTCTGCTACGAGCTAAGAACATGATATATAGTTGTGCCTAATTACCCATCCAAACATCCAATGCAAGATGGACTGAAATGCATATGTCCCTCTGCTCTATTCCTAAGAGAACAAACTCTTGATTTAGGGCAGGGGTGTCAAACTAATTTTCACCAAGGGTCACACTAGCCTTATGGTTGCATTCCATTTGTAACTGTAAGACTGTATAATGCAACTTCATTGCTCTGGCAATGAAAGCCTAACAAGCCAATGATGGCTAGGACAGATTAAGGGGTAGCAGTAGTGCAGCAGGTTAAACAACTGAGCTGTGGAACTTGCTGACCAAAAGGTTGGTGGTTCTAATCTGTGGAGTAGGGTGAACTCCTGTTGTTAGCCCCAACTTCTGCCAACATAGCAGTTTGAAAACATGCAAATATGATATCAATAGGTACCGCTCTGGCAGGAAGGTAACGGTGCTCCATACAGTCATGCCAGCCACACAATCTAGGAGATGTCTATGGACAACGCCAGCTCTTTGGCTTAGAAATGGAGATGAGTACCACCCCTGAATTGGACTCGACTAGACGTAATGTCAAGAGGAAACCTTTACCTTTACTTAGGCCAGATTCAGCCTGTGGGTATTACATTTCACACATGTGAACTAGACTCTTGATCCTGGTCAAAGACCGTAATAAATCATTCATTGATTGATTGACTCTTGATCTGGGGAAAATGATAGGTATTTCAAATATCTGGAGTAATCATCACATGAGATGGAGGCTACCTAATAATCTAGTTTAAGGAAGTGGGGAGCTTCAACAACTTACACTATTTTATCTAAAACCATTCTTCCTCCTGGACCTCCTACTATCCATTATAATTTGGCAGGCTGCGGGCAATATTATCATTTTTTTTCTCAGCAAAGTGCAAAGCCATAGATATTACTGGTAGAAAACTAGGACATGATTCAACTCAGTCCTGTGCACATTCTCAGCTTCTCTCCCTATCCCCACAACTACGTGAAACAACACCTTAATTTTTGTCTTAAATGAAACCATCAACTCCCCTACTGCTTGTATTTGGAAATTATAAATTTTTAACACTTCCTCATTGGTTTCCTCCACACTAGTTATAAAATAATGTGCTCACATTGCACATGCAAACTTCATAAATGTCAAACTCAAGGCAGAAGTAAAAAAGGAAGAGCAAAAGAAAACAAGTTCTATTTTACATCTCTTTTGTGTCTCTTTGATCAAAACAGCTGAAGGCTGATAATTTATAATGTGCTTCTGATTTGTACTAAACATTTTTCGCCACAGTATGGTTTCAGTTGCACATAGTATATATCTAATTTGTGTAACATCTAAGGAATATGCTATTCCCTATGCTAAACGTAATATTTTATTCTAACCAAACAAGTAGTGTATCCTGCAAATTTAAATAAGAAACATCCATTTATCACTGATCTCATTCACAAATTTCACACTCCTTTCTTAGGCCGATTCCCATATTTGTATTCCTTCCAAGAACAGGCTACACACACCCAGTGTGTCAATGAGATAACATAAATGCCACGTGCATTTGGTATGGAGAATGTAAGGATATAAGAAGAGCTCTGCTGGATCAAGCTAACATTCCTATATCAACAAAAGATTTGAGAGATAGACTTCTTATGTTTACTTTGCTCCAGAGTGGACTGGGGGCAAGGAAACGGGACTCCCAGGTTTCCTTCCTGACTCATCAAAATGACTTGGCAAATTCTGAGCAGCCATATCCAAAATAAACAAATATATAGGCATGTGTGTTCTATGTATATACAGTGGTCTACAGTTAAATGAATGTAACAGAGTGAGACATGCCTTCAAACATTTCTTTAGGCAGAAACCACAAGCAGTGACACAGATTCAATAAAAACAAATAGTGCTTTATCATTAAGACCACAGATAAGCACTGTGGTTGCAAATGTCCATAGAGTTATCCATGCATAATGCCTGAAGAAATGAATGGGATTTGTATCTCTGTAACCATGTATATTTTGTAGCCAAAATATTTTATAGACCTTTTAAGTTCATTCCATTGATAGATATAGATAGATAGATAGATAGATAGATAGATAGATAGATAGATAGATAGATAGATAGATATAATATATATGGACCTGCTCAACAAACTATTTTAAATTGGGGGGGGGGGAGGAGGGAAGGCTTTTTAAGCACTATAGTTACTGTGCTAAAACAGACCCCATAAGCCAGAATATTCAAATGCAGTCCTTTTTGTGCAGGTAAATGAYCTTGCTGGATAATGACTACCATGCTTAATAGGGGATCTACTCTGGAAAGCATTYCTGCTGTGACTTGTATTTCACTCATAACAGGGAAATATTTCCCTGCATTATTTTATGTAAGCACAGCAATGTAACTCTAAATATTTCAATATGTTTGCTTACAGATATTTCATTTTGACTTCTAGACTTTCAGACTCTTTTCCTTTTCTCTTTCTTTGTCCTAGTTTATCTCCATCTTAAAACTGCCACATCCAAAGTCCAAAAAACCTGCCTCTAATTTTCTAGTCTGTAACACTGTTTGATTTACCATAGATTCTAATGCTTATTTTTACTTTTATAAAAACCTTCTGCTTCTGATTAAACTATACTAGACAACTTACTTTGAAGCCTGAAATTTAATAATTCTGGAGAAGCTTAAATTGCAACGTCATAAATGTTTTCCTCTTTGTTGCAAAATGTAGTAAGCATGTGGCTTACTTGTAACTGTGGTTCTTTGAATGGTCATCTGTGCCCTCAAACAAGTGGTCTTTGCACTTGCACAGAAACAATGATCAGAAAGTTCTAGAGCTGAGTAGCTTGGCAGGAACCAGAGGTGAGGTAGGGTTGTGTATATCCATAGATGATCACTCAAAAAACTAGTTACAGAAGAGAAATCTGTTTTTCTTCTTCATGGTCTCTGTGCTTCACACAACAGGCTTATTCTTAAAGGTGTGCTAGGTCACTACAAAATAGCAGACAACATGACACATACAATAGTAGTCTCAGCCCTGGTTCTGGAAACTAAGCAATAGTGCCAAATAAAGGTTGGTGTCTGAGACCATGTAGCTACCTAGAAACCATTTTGCAGAGAAATATCATGAATTAGGGCAGCAGCAGTAGCCATTGCTCTAGCAGGATGCCCCTTCTTTGCAAGCTTATAGGCCAATGTGGTGGTCTCTGCTACACAATTAGAGACGCATTAAGTGGAAACATGGGGATCCTTTCTAAGGAGAGAGTGACAGATAAATACATGTATTTATTCAAATCTAATGTGCACCTCAATTTTCAAAACCCTGAAACCAAAAACAAAAGGATTTGCTGGTGAAAAAAGGTAAAGGTAAAGGTAGTCCCCTGACATTAAGTCCAGTCATGTCTGAATGTAATGCAAAAACGGCCCTCTTCATAATTTGACCAAAAGGGTGCACATTGGAGTGGCTGCTGGCCTATAATTCCTTTTATTAAAAACAAAAGTGTTAGAACACCAAAGCTTTCAGCAAATTGAAAATAAAACCTTAGGGTGCATTTATGCTGTATAAGGAATCCACTTTAACTGCCCTGGCTCAATACTATAGGATCATGGGGGCTGCCAAAGAATGCTGATGCCTCACTGAACTACAAATCCCAGGATCCCATAGCTTTGAGACATAGCAATTAAATTCAAGATGACATCCTTCAAATAAAAGCTCCATGTCATCCTGAAGTAGCCTCCACTTTTGCTTTTGTGCAGCACTAAGATATTACACAAATCTAATGTGCACCATAATTTTGGGAAAGTAATTTAGCCAAAAAAAGGTGAGCATTAGATTTGAGTAAATACAGTAATCTTAAAGAATGATGAAAAAATGCTTTGCATTAAATGTAGAAAGCAAGTCTTCAACAAAGAGCCAAAGATCAGAGAACCCTCCCGGGATTCTGAAGAAAGTTTCTGGTCAAAATAATGCGAACAATGTTTTAATTCATGTGGAAATGTGAAACAACTTTTGGTAAAAAGGTTATATCAGGTTTTATGGAAACAGGAATGGTTCATCAAAATGTGGAACAGGCAGTTTGCTTGCCCTTATTACTCAAGATTAAGAGTCGGCAAGTACTCACTGATGGAAGCCGGATGTCGAAAAAGCTTTGAAAACAATTGGGGCAGAAATAAAGATAGCATGCAAGGTGTGACAGGTAACTGAATGGGTGAAACTGAAAACAAATAAACCATTCCCTTGAGAAACCTCCCTTGAGAAACAATTTTGCAGCTGCTGAAGAGGTAAGTTGATACACTATAATCACAGAAAAGTAGATCTCTAAAGAACTGAAGGGAAACACTTCCAAAGGTGGAGAAGGAAATGCAAAATTACAAAGTTTCTGACAGAAATTATGATGACACAATGAGTCTTTGCAAATGTTCAAAAATGTCATCACTTACAATCATGAGACTTGTGATGCTGTGAGTATATTGTGTTATGGAAATAAGCATCTTTCTAATCTATTGTGGCTAACTACACCCCAAGACACAGGAATTGCAGAATAGATTGTAGAGTGACTATCTTGAATTTGTGGGGCAAATGTTGCAGTAAATAACCCTTCCAATGATCAAGGACTCAGACCGCTATTTCTCTTTAAAATTGTGAAGTAGCTGGAGAAATAATAAAATGAGTCTGAAACTTTTTCTACAGCACCTTGTCCAGTAAGGTGGCAATCTCTTCTCTGAGAACTCAGGGAGGAGGGCTAGGGAAAAAAACACCAATGGGGCATGTTGAAAATTCTACACTGATTCAGGTGTTCAACTATTAAATGTCAAATTCGTGATAACTGCAAATATTGAATCAAAATACCATATGTTTAATAATTTCTCTGTGGATATAGGATTTTCTTTCTTTACTTTTGTTACGGTTCTAATGTCAGTAAATTGCTAATCCAGACAAATATTTATGTTCAAGTACAGCAAATAAACCCAGGTATTATGTATCAAAAAGTATGCTCTGAGGTTTACTAAATACTTGTTCCCATCTGTTCCTAATCACACTTATCTCAGCCATAACATCTCTGAGACTAAAAGTACAGTGCTTTTCCTTATAACCATTACACATTATGAATGTTATGCTATCATTTAATCAACATAAGAGATAGGAGATTATTAAACAATATAACTGTTGCACAAAATACTCATGGCATTAACATACTTTGCAAGCACATTAATGCAATTAAAATGGGATTTACCTGCTCCTCGGGTATGATTAAAATCTCCTTTAACAACTCTACATGATTTTCCATCTCCATTGCAGACACCACAGTGATCTTCCCATGTCAAAGACCCCAATATGCCATCACATCCAAACTTCTGAAGTCAAAAGGAAACAGCACATTCTTATGAAAGCTCTACTATATATTTTAATCCATCTTGCAATGAAACAGAGATTATTATTACAGTAACTTGGTCTCTGAGGGAAATCAGCACCAGGTGTTGTTCATGAGAAAGCAGAATGAACTGTGGAGGTAGTTACCTGTGCTACTTTTAGTAAAGTGGTATTTATTCATTCATTTAACATATACCACTTCCTTTGCCCGAAACAGAACCCAAGGAATGGTGGCCAGCAAATCCATATCCCACCCCCAGTACTTTTGGACCTTCTTAGTATAAATTTTGCAGGCAAAGTACACCTGGATAACTTTTCTTCAACATACTACGTAATTTTATTAGCATGTCATCATTCATGTTGCTCATCATTGAAGTTCATGGTATTCCCTTATTTGGGGCTATTTCAATGTTGATATCTGAAAATATGTGGAATTAAATATATGCTCATTCTTTCCTAAAGGCTGAGTTTCATCATATTCTCCTTCTGGAATGTAACTCTCTTCATATCTTATCCCTTCCTCCAGTACAGCTATAAACCTGCAGTACCAATATCTTAACATTTACTTTCAGTATCGACTTCATCAGACAGCCCCACGTGTTTAGAAATCACTGACACAGTTATTTCTTCGTGCATTTCAAGGCAGGAGTGCTACTAAGTGGAATGCTTTTAAGAGACTGTCTGCACCACTTGTTTTGAACATGATATACCACTTAACATACTAGAAACAGCTGGTTCAGCACACACTTTATCCTTGTCTCCTGGGGAAATGCAGTGATGCATTACTATTCTTCCTGTCAAGTAAATTGCGTGAAATGACACAGAGCAATGTAATAATTACTTCCTTCAGATGTAGTATCTTATCTTGAATAAATTTATTCAGAAGAAGTACAAAATTAAATACAATGGACAAGCTCTGCTGCTGAGAGAGAGGGAAAGAACATTCCAAAATATATATTAAAAAATTGTTTCTTAAGTCTCAGGAATTCCTGACAAGGAGAACCTTGAATGAAACTTTGCAAATTGGAACTTGCTCTGTATGCTCCATGCATAAAATACTGAAAATGTTGTACTTGGTGGCCTACTCTGAACTAAATTCACATGTGGTTATTTGTGTGGAAATATTTTACACAGAAAACAACATTTTTGCACAGATAAGCTTGCAAATTTTCTGCAGAATAAATGCCGTATCTAAAGATTAAAAAGAGAAAGGTTCATTTATATACTTCCGTTTAAGTCTAGAAATTATAATCAAAGACCAACCCAAAAATCTTGGGTCAACTTAATAGTGGGTCAATCAATGTGAATACTTAACTCTTAATGCTTATCAATAACGGAACCATCCCCTTCTCTGAGCAGAGTGGTGAAAGGTTTAGTCTGCACTTGGAAAACCTAAAAAAATGATCCCCTCAACTCTCTCTATGATGCTGCTGCTTCTGGCTGTTGGAAGACCTTGGTGGAAAATGGCGACAGTGGTTGGGGCAGCTGGCTGGCCCCCTGAGTCGGCATTGGTGCTTTCCCCTCTCCAAAGAATGACCTTCAACTTATCCATGGGCCATATCAAAATCCATAATTTCTACACAAAAAGAGCAACAAACCTACCTTCAACTTATCTGTGAGTTCAACCTATACATAGGTATATATGATAATTACTACATGATTCAGAATTAAGCATACTTTAAATGAAAGTGAGAATTAAGTTACTTCTGCATTATGACCAATACAAGGAAGAAAAGTATGGCCTAGTTCAAATTAAATTCTTCTAAACTGTGGTATGAAAAGTTTAGAATTTGCCTGACCTGCACAATTGCTTCTTTCATTCTTGTTTAGATTGAGTTACTGGTAGTTATTTCATAGTTTGTGTACAAATTAAACTACAACGCATAGTTTGTGTTGTAGTTTAAATACAACAACAAACTACAACATACAGCAAAGCTGAGAATTCTGAAGAACCAAACTGTAGGTGACATTTGATTGGCCTTCGTGGGGTTATTTTCCTTCATTATATAGCAATCAGAAAGGAGGGCTTCATTCCTACTTAGGTAGCTATTTGGAACTCAATACTGAGAAAAATGTGAGATACAAATAAACATAATAATCATATTTATTGATGTAGAGGCAAAGGGTCAAATCCTTTGTCAAAAAAGGATGAACACATTCTCAAACAGTGTGCGGTATCAGCATAGCTTCTCAGAAAAGAACCTTCGTTTCTCTGAATAATTTGTTTGGGGAAATGATTCTGGTGTGCTTCTGTGTTTCCTTCATTGAGCCTGATTACTTTGGGTCCAAACTACAGACCTTCTCTTTGCTTCTGATTAATCCTCCATCTAGATTTCAAGTACTTGGTTTCTGTCTCACTTCAATCTGTTATTATTTTTATTAGTATTTATTTATTTATTTATTTATTTCTAACTGCTTTTCTCCCAGATTGAGACTCAAAACAGTGAACAACATGTAAACAAAACACTGCATAGCATAAAATAAACATAATCATCAGACCAAAACATCTTTATATATAAAACCTCAGTCTGTGTATGTCTGTGCTCACAAAACTCAAAAAGTAGTCAGTCGATTGACTGGATACTTCGACACGACGTTGCATTGCAATATGCGTGTGTTTTTATAGTGAAATGAAATTGAAATGCACCATTGCATTCAAATACATGTGTGTACACAACCTATAACTATCAATAAAGTGCAGGGGTAATCTCTGCAAGTGTGTGGTTTGTATTTAGAAAAAACTGCTTCTCCCACGAGCACTTATACGTCGCATGATCAAGAGGTGGTAAACTGTCAGATCTTAATGTTTATGCAGAAAACTGACAAACCAAAAATGTAGTTAATCCACTAGTTTTACAATAAAAATGATTTCTGTGAAAAAAAAATTATTTTTCTTTCCTTTCCTTTTCTTCCACAACCCGGACAGGGTATTGAATTGAATGATGTGATTTCTCGGTGAATCTATGTTCGCAACAATACTTTTATTTACTATCGCATTCATTTCATACCAGACTGAGTCACAGCAAAGCGTGGTCAGGTTTAACTAGTATAGAATAAAATTATAAAACCCACAACATGCATAGTACAAAACATAGCTAACAAAAACACAATTTAAACATTCAATAGATTAAAAACCTCAACTAATGACCATTCCTTTAGGCCGTTCTCTGTGTCTTATTTTCTTTTCTCATGCCATGATTACACTGTCACTAGCAACATACATACAAATCTTGTATTCCTCTTCTACACAAAAAAGAGCAACAATTATGTTCATTAGTGATCTGCTGCATCATTAATAAATTTTTGAATAAACAGGGAAATTTCCTCAATAAAATAAAGGCAACCCTAAAATAAATAATCAAATCAGTGGAAAATAAATTAATGGAAATAGTCTCAGATTGTAAAACAGAAATAGACTAAAATACCTGTAAAAGTCAAGAGAACAGTAAAAATGCTACAGGAAAAAAGCTCTTTTGCTGTGGTGTTGCTTGCATGAGGTAAAAATAGAATCAGAAATCATTATGCATTGTCTTCATCAATTCATATACATGTAGTGAAGATTCCCACTCAAGAGTTTAGAACATGAGCAATGAATTTGTTCTTTGCTCTAGTAAAGATTTATGTTTTATTTGGTGCCCTTGTGTGCTTACTCATAGACCATGAAAAGCAAATCGAAAGCTTCCCTACACCTACCTTCAAAGGTTGTACAAGTTTAAAAGCAAAGCCAAGTATATCTAAAGCAGGAATGGGAACTGTACAAGTGACATTGCCACACAACTAACAGCTTTCCTTCCCTTTGCCTGTGTCAGTAAGAGCTCCTGGGATTTCAAGCCTAACAACATCTGGAAGGCCGCAAAAGTTACACTTCTGATCAAAAGAGTTTGAGAAATACTGCATAGTAAATAGATAACAAAAATTGTCCTTGAGAGGTTTGATTTACCTGACATCTGCCATTTGCACATATATCGTGTTCCTGATGGCCACATGGAGTTCCATCCATCACTTTTTCTGTTACTAGTATAGGCTGATCTTTTCCATTTGGAGAACAAAATAACGCACAAGGTTTTTCTATATGAGTAAGTGAAAAAACATGTCACCTTGGTTTTTTAAAAAAAACCTTTTCAGAGGCATATTTCTCCCACTACCAGTTCAAAATAGATGACTATTATATTCCAGATAGACATTGTGGATACATTCCAAAGGGAATTTTGCAGAGATATACCTCATTAAAATAAGTGAAATCTACACTACAGTGCAAAGTCTCTGTCACTTTAATAGGTACATAAAGAAATCTTCTCTTTTAAACAGACTTTCTAATGGAGGTTATATGTAGAATTGTTCCCTATTCCTGATCAGAGTTCAGACCAGTTGAGATATGCAGAAGTAGTTTGCATAATCAGTGAGAAGACAGGAAAGCTTGAAGCAGAAGTGGGCAAAGGGTTGCTCTCCAGGCAATATCAGGTTACAGTTTCTAGCATACCTTATCATCTGTGAAGCTGACTAGGGTTGATGGGACTTGCAGGCCCACAACACCTTGAAGAGTCACATTTTAAAAATCCTTCATGAGGAAAAATATGAGAAATACCTTTCACTAAAGATTTCTGTTTCCCCAGCTTGCTAGTAAGACATGATTTGTGATGACCATTGGCCACCAAGTGAGCAGGTCTTCTCTGACAAGTACAATGGTGCTTGGGGAAAGGAAAGCAACTGTTGTATCCTGTTGTGTGGATACAAATGAGGGAGGATTCTGTCCCTCAGAACTCTGGCATGTGCTAAGGAAGAGTTTGGGGAAGGATCTGTGCTTTTATGGATCTATGCTTTTATGGTTTTAAATTGTATATTGTTGTTGATTATCTTGTTGTAAACTGCGTTGAGTCGCCAGTTAGGCTGAGAAACGGTGGTATACAAGTAAAGTAAATAAAATAAATAAATAAATAAATAAATAAATCTGTGGGGGGCAGATCTCTGAATACCTCGATGAGGAAAGACAACCAATGTTGATCTTGAATAAATGTCTAATTTACACCCTCCCAAAAGAAGAAAGAAAACAGCCTAACTGAATAAAACTGTCAAGAGATGAACCCCAGCTATGGGTGAGTGATACGGTCAGTCAATTTATCTCTGTAAAGTAACCTCAAGGTGGTGATGGAAAAAAGAAAATGACCAGGAGCATGTGAGACCTTGCTAAGGCAATAAGTTCAATGGAAAGGGACATTTTGAATGAAATAAAATTAGTAGAGTGAAGTATATAAGGGAGGAGTTTCACGCTGTTAAAAAACAGTGGTTGAGGCAAATGAGAAAGCGGGGCAGCATGAAGATCCTGTAGAAACAGACTTTTGGGGGGAAAATCTAGCTGAGCAGTCCGATAGACAGAAGAGAAGAAATTTGAGAATCCTTTAAAATCTCAGAGGATATCGGCAACACAGAACTTGAAAGGGCTTTGATAATTTGGTAGAAAGAAAATTACATTAAAATTGAAAGGCAGGACTTGGAGAGGGCTCACATAATTTTCAAGCCCGCAGCAGCAGAGACACCAAGAGACAACATTGTGGCATTAGCCAGGGAAAGACAAAAATATTTGATCTATAAATTCCTCAGAAAGATAACAGAAAGAAATTCAAAGGGAGATGGATCTTTGTGAAACAAGACTTCTGTACAGAAACTCTGCAAGAAAAATGCAAAATGAAATCATATGCTCAGAGACTATATAAGAAAGGAATCAATTTCAGCTGGGGCTATCCTGCCAGCATAGTGAAGGCCAACTGCAGAGTGAAGAAGAAGATTTGAGCCTGAGTCCAGAACCAGGAACTTTAGCAGAAGGCAAAGGGATTGTAAATACCTGTGGACACTTCTGAGAAAAACCTAAATGTTTAAAAGGGTGAATCTCTGAAGGAAGATGCAGTCAGGCAAAGGGGCTATAATCATATATAATCACAAGCAATGTATGTAAAGAAACATTAAGGGGGAGGGGGAGAATTCGGAACACAGATCTCACATGGGAGGAGATGGACAGGGAGTGGAAATTGCACTCCCATTGAAAAGGTCTCCAAGTCACAGGGGGACGGGAAGACCACACCTAAATGAAAAAAGCCTAAAATGCCGTTTGAGAAGAGAATGACAAATATATCAGATTCCATATGATTAGAACCAGGCATGTTTAAGACATGTATGTCAATCAAACAGTCATGAAGCTTCAAAAATGTTTTAATTTATATGGCATAGTCCTTATTTTGTGAAAGCAGCAAAGCAATATCAGAATGGAAATGAAGTCTTTTTACTTACTCTTAGAATTAATGTGTGTTTAATCTTGAACTTTGAGTATAAGTATGTTTTCTTTTGGCATTACCATGTAATACAGACTTTCCCATGAATTTTGCAAATTTTTATTTCAAATGTATACTCTGTAAGTCTGTTATTAAATTACAAGTCAAGCTTTAAATACTATTAAAAAACAGTTTGCTGCTCATTGCTAATTCATACTCTTATGATGTATTACTTGTTATTAAGAGAATCACATCACAAATGTATTTTTATCCACTGTAGTAGGAGAAGAAAGGTTTTATTTTTTCTTTCTTCCAAAAAAAAAAGCCTTGCAACAGCCTCCTTAAACCTGTTGGGACTCTGCCTGTTGTAAAGAGGCAGTGACTCTCGCCACTTCAATGTAATCCTTGAGAAGCTGATCCGTCACAGTGACACCATAACAGTTGCTGGAATGTGCATTCTGCTTACCTTCATCTATCACAGCCTGCCATTGCTGTACATGTTTTTGGTAGGATGGCCTCACACTGAAGACCTGACACTGCCAGTCCCTGAATGCAGGTGCTCCAAGAGGACAAGAAGGATTCTCACATATTTTATATTGTATTCTTGAGTCATAGCATTCTCTTCCATCATGAACTGAACTAGAGAAGACAAAAAATGGCAACCCCTTTTGTTGAATTGATACAGCACAACATAGTCTGTACACACTCAGAAGAAGACCTACAAGTCACTCTAAGCATCTTTGCAGAAGCATACAAGAAGCTCGGCCTGCCACTGAACATCAAGAAAACCAAAATGCTCTTCCAGCAGTCACCAGCCAATTCCTCTGCAATGCCAGAAATACAGCTTAATGGTGTAACATTAGAAAATGTTGACAATTTCTGCTACCTTGGAGGTCACCTCTCCACAAAAGTCAACATTGACACCAAAATACAACACTGCCTGAACTCTGCGAGTGCAGCATTTTTTCAAATAAAGCAGAGAGTGTTTGAGGGCCGGGACATCCGTAGGGAGACCAAGGTGCTTGTTTATAAAGCTATTGTCCTCCCAACCCTGCTTTACACCTGCAAAACATAGACTGTCTACAGACATCACACTCAACTCCTGGAATAATTCCATCAGCATTGCTTCTGAAAAATCCTGCAAATCTCTTGGGAAGACAGGCAGACAAATGTCAGCATGCTGAAAGAAGCAAAAACCACCAGCATTGAAGCAATGCTCCTACGCCATCAACTCTGCTGGACTGGCCACATTGTCCGAATGCCTAATCACTGTCTCCCAAAGCAGTTACTGTAGTCCCAACTCAAGAAAGGGGAAACATAATGTTGGTGGACAAGAAAAGAGATTTAAAGATGGGCTTGAAGCCAACCTTAAAAACTGTGGTATAGACACAGAGAACTGGAAAGACCTGGCCCTGGAGTGTCCTAACTGGAGGTCAGTTGTGTCCAGCAGTGCTGCAGAATTCAAAGAGGCATGAATGGAGGGCAAAAGGGAGAAACATGCCAAGAGGAAGGCACGTCAAGCCAACCCTGGAAACCAATGTCCTCACTGTGGGAGAACATGCAGATCAAGAATAGGGCTTCACAGCTACCTACGAACCCACCACCAAGACACTACACTTGGAGGACCATCATCCTCGGTCTATGAGGGATTCCTTAAGTAAGTAAGTACAGCTTGTCCATACAAAATGGTTAACACTGGTTGTTAAAACAAGAGGTAACAGCAGTGATTGCCTCTAGGTTATCCTGCTTTTAATCTATATAAATAAAAAAGTAATGTTAGTTCGTGCTATGATCAGAACTCAAAAACCACTGGGGGAATTGACACCAAATTTGGACACAGGACACCTAACAGTCCAATTTATGTCCTCCACTCAAAAAAATTGATTTTGTCATTTGGGAATTGTCGTTGCTGGGATTTATAGTTTACCTACAATCAAAGAGCATTCTGAACTCCACCAATGATGGAATTGGGCCAAACTTAGCACACAGGGCTCCCATGACCAACAGAAAAAACTGGAAAGGTTTGGTGGACATTGACCTTGAGTTTGGGAATTATAGTTCACCCACATCCAGAGAGCACTGTGCACTCAAACAATGATGGATCTGGACCAAACTTGGCACGAATATTCCATATGCCCAAATATGAACACAGATGGAGTTTAAGGGAAATAGACCTTGACATTTGGGATTTGTAGTTGCTGGGATTTATAGTTCACCTACAATCAAAGAGCATTCTGAACTCCACCAATGATGGAATTGAACCAAACATGGCATACAGGACTTCCATGACCAACAGAACACACTGGAAGGGTTTGGTGGGCATTGACCTTGAGTTTGGGAGTTGTAGTTCACCTACATCCAGAGAGCACTGTGGACTCAAACAATGATGGATCTGGACCAAACTTGACACAAAAATTCCATATGCCTAAATATGAACACAGATGGAGTTTGGAGGAAATAGACCTTGACATTTGGGATTTGTAGTTACTGGGATTTATAGTTCACTACAATTAAAGAGCATTCTGAAACCCACAAACGACAGAAATGGGGCAAACTTCCCACACAGAACCCCCATGACCAACAGAAAATACTTAAGGCCATCCAGTCCAACTCTCTTCACCAGGGCAAGAAAATGTAATCAGAGCCCTCCTGACAAAGAGCCATCCAGTCATAAATATAGAGATAGATATGATTCTCTCTCACACACAGATATAGTATCATAGATTTGAAAGAGACCCTTAAAGAAGGACTATGATATGTTGCATATTCCAGAGTAGGCAAACCAGACACTCTCCACATCAACACTGACAAAGAAACAACAAGAAATACTGTTTACTCACAAGCATAAAGAATTACATATATTAGAAACCAACACTTTCTCATTACTTTATTTTCCAGATCACCAGACTGGGCCACAGCAACGCGTGGCAGGGGACAGCTAGTCAGTAAATAAAAGTACTATAAAGGAACTATTGTATTAAGAGTAACAGATGGCAACAGTGTCAACAGTCTGCTACAATAACATCATTACCCAAGACACAGAATAATTAAAAAGATTTAAAATGAAGAGTTTCCTATCACCTTTGTTCCTTGTATAATCAAACAAATGTGTAACATAGGTTTAAAGAACTGAGCTATGAGTCTGGTTTGAATTTTATCTCTGCTATTAATTCATTAAGTGGCTTTCCGTGAAACACCCTTTCTCTATCTCAGTCCAGGCATCAGAAGTAATGATACTGACTTACCTTACCTTGTTCTAAAGATTTCAGATAAGGATTACCAAGTTTAAATACCCCATAACATGTTGGAGAACTCCTATTTCCTAAGTTTGTATATTACAAGGCCCAGTGGTTTTAGCAGAGTGGTACCTTAGCCAATACTTGGGAAATAAGGCCCCTTCACTAGGATTAAGTCTTTTTTCATATGTATATATGCATAACTAGCTAGGAATAGCTGCATTAGTAACAACACTAAAGGACAAAAGGTTTAAGTCATTGGTTTTTACCCGGAGCATCTACGTTGTCGGCTGCTGATTCCAGTATTGCAGGTTCTGCTGCAAGTGCTCCATGTACTCCATTCTGCCTCCATGTGTCCAGGGAAAGATGTCTTACTGCTACATTCTCCAGCCTTACACCACTGTCATAAAAAGGCGGGGCGGGGGGAGGGGTTAGGTTAACAGATTTGCAATACATTTGAGCAAATTTCATTGCTCTCTGTATATTCACAACATCTCTTTTCTTCAGAAAGTGAAACAATACAATTTCAGTTCTGTTTCAGCATGTAGTCATATATGCTGAAACCACTTAGATGTAAAACCAACAAAAAGACGCCTTTTTGATGGCTTCTTTTTACAGAAGAAGACACCAAGCAGACTAACCAATCCATGCTGTTCTCACAACTTTTTTTTTTGTCGTGTCAGGAGTGACTTGAGAAACTGCAAGTCGCTTCTGGTGTGAGAAAACTGGCTGTCTGCAAGGACATTGCCCAGGGGATGCCCAGATGATTTTGATGTTTTTATCATCCTTGTGGGGGGCTTCTCTCATGTCCTCGCATGAGGAGCTGGAGCTGATAGAGGGAGCTCACCCACCTCTCCCTGGATTCGAACCTGCGACCTGTCGGTCTTCAGTCCTGCCGGCACAGGGGTTTAACCCACTGCGCCACTGGGGGCTCCATGTTCTCACAACTGCCTTTGCACCTTTGGTATGGATTGATGGTACAGATGAGAACAAGCACAGCTTTAAATTATATTGTAAGGACTGGGCTGAACATATATTCCATTCCTTTCTTATACTTGTTATGGCAGCCATTTGAAACATCTGCTATAGAACTGAGGATTACACTATCAACTGTGTTGGCCAAACAACAATGCAGAGATACATTAACTGTGGAGTCTCAGACATCTCAATCATTCTAGTTTTGAAAGGCACAAAAGATAAAACAGACACACTACTTATTTCCATTGGGATCTATGTGCTGTCTACTGTTTCGTTTCAAGTGAAAGTATATCTGGATTTTCTATGCTGAATCATCACCCTCTCTACTTTATGTTTGCACGCAGACATGGACAGTTTGGGCAAAAGTAAAAAATATTCCTTGTTGAAATGGTTTTTATGCTACTATTTTTAGAATCGTTTTTTTTAAAAAACTAGGAAAATAATTCAGGGAGAATAATATGGTACTTTGAGAATTCTTAGTAGGCACTTGAGATAATTTGTCAATGTAAGTTTTTAAACATGTTTGTATTAAAAGATATACAAGTGCAAAATCCATCCGACAGAGACATTATAAGAACTCATAACAATTCTGGGTGAGGCTTGGTGATGAGAATGAGGTGAATGGATTATGATCCAAAATTATGGTATTTTTTTAATTGACAGATACATGTAACTAAAAAATACTGATTTTAATAGTTTCAAGATTTTACACAATCCTATTTTTTACACTTAGCTGCTTTAAAAAAACACGTGTCTCAATTTCAACCACTATCTGTGCTTTCCAAGTGAATAAGAACCTAAAGTGCTAGTTTTCATTCTGCTGCATGCTATAAATTACAGTTATAAATGATAGTCATTGATATGAATTATAATTATATCCAACTGCCATGCAAGCATACTTGGAATTCAACTGTGAATAAAGAACACTGAAAAATAGGTATGAACACAAAAGACAGTTTTTTATAGTCAAAGTATCCTAGTTCTATAGTATCTTAGTTCTCTCTAAGACCCCATCTACACTGACCATTTAATGCATTCTGAAGCCAGGCAACAAAGCCATACAAAAAGTACCAAAATGTTCTTAATGCATATTAGTACTCCGTGGTTTCTGTAATCACCATTCGAGCCTTAAGTAGGTTGCAGGATTTTCTATGTAATCAACTGCACAGTGAAATTGCTTTCTTCAGTACCAGTTTGAAACTGTATCAAATGGTCAGTGTAGATGGAGCCTAAGAAACAATTCTAAGAGGGAAAAAGTAATACACAATTTCTACTTTTTAAAAGAATATATGGTGTTAACAGTATACCTTTCCAGTGTCACAATCAGTTCCATCCATTGGTGGATCCAGCTTAGTTTTACATTCCTTCTCCCCTTCCACTTTACACCATAGACCAGTGCAAATGACATGCTGGAAACAAACAGATGATAATAATGGAAAAGCTAGAATACAAATAGTTTTTTTAAAAAAAATGTACTTCAGCTACAGCATAATCCCTTCTTCCAAGCACTCTTCCAAGTGCTGTAGATCAAAAATCAAAATGGTGAGACATTTCTCTAACTTGTTGACACATATTTAAAAACAATGGTGGTTTCCCACTGCCATGGGAAAAGAGCCTTTGAGTTTTGAATTGGTATTTGGAACTGCAAATGAAGCAGATGAAATTAATTCCAAGCCGATTAAGAGTGGACTTTTCTCACATCTCCCATGGTCCCACTTATGTTTTACGGGCTCTCCAAAGCTAGACTGGGAATTTTTAGCAGAAAAAGGCTATGTGTTGATCACAGAACTTGAATGGTTCTTTATTTCTTTGCTATTCTTTCTTTAAAGTAAATGCATGGACTCTTTGATTTCAAAGAAGACAGGAACTAGTGAATTTAGCCGATTTTATCTGGTCTGTCACCACAACCACATTAACCAGACCTTGCTAATCTCATTCATTTAGTAAGACTCATTCAAATAAGGGTCCACTATGTAAAATAAGCCAATATTTTATGGAAGCCTTATATTTTGTATATGACAAACTAAAGATACTAGCTGATAAACTGACATACTTCTTTATGGAATAGTAAGAATTAGAGATTTCTACCTTACTAGGAATGCAACCATCAGGGCCGTAGCCAGAAAAAAATATTTGGGGGGGGGGGTTTGAAAATTTTTGGGGAGGGGTTGAAAATTTCGGGGGGGGGGGGTTGAAACCTGCCTCCTAGCTCATGCTGAAGCAAAGAGCACAGCAGGGGGCAAAGCAGCCTTCAATAGCCTGCAGCTCTGCCCCTGTCAACCACCTCCACCAAGTCTGGCCTCCTTAATGAGAGCATTCAACACCCCTCCCCCCAAACTTGGTTGCTTTGCTACATTGGCTATTGCTGCAAGTAATGACAGTGTGAATAAATTGTCAATATTTGCTTGAGATAGTGCTTGCAGTTCTGGAGGGACTCTTAATTTTTTGCGTCTCATAGACTTAGCATGGGGATTTGGTTAACCAGTTAAAATTCATGAGTAAACCAGGTTTTTTTTAACCTGAAAAATTTCAGGGGGGGGTTGAACCCCTCCCCCCCTCCCCCCCAGCTACAGGCCTGGCAACCATACACACTGCTTCCGTGTGCTATAAACCTTATGCAGCAAGACTTATACAAAGAGATAAAGGCCAGTGAATGTTCCAACTCTTCCCAAATGTTCCACTAATAACATTCCTCTTCAATACTGATAATCTTATCCTTCTGTCTGAAAGCTGTGATATTTGAGGGGGGGGGGGACTTCTGATATATTTCCTGACAGTGTTACTCTATTATCTGTAGATCTTCTCCCTACAAATCAGAAATATATTCCCTGTGACAGAAATCCATCTTCTTCTTAAAAATAAGAAAGAGAATTGGACTGAGATGGTTCAGAGGGAGGAGGAGAGACATTTCAAATCTTCTCCACCCTGGAAATTTGAAACAATCTACTTGCCATGTAACACCTGACCTTTACACATTGAAAAATAAAGATAGGGTGGAAACAATCTAGAATAGCTTTGAGCATCTAATAGAATAAATATTTTACAACCATCGAACCACTATTTCCTTAAATCTTCAATCCTTCGCTGCACTGACTCTGTTATAGAATACAAAAAAGGGGAAACTAAATTTATTATGTAATAACTTAAAATAAACCATTATTGTCACCTGCATTTCTTGGCAAAAAGAAGCTGTTGGTCCAAAGAGAATCTGACACTGTTCATCTGCAGTGTACGTCATCCCTGGCACTTTTGAAGGAATAATCACAGAATTGATGCTCTGGGGATTAGTCTGAAGCAAACAGTTACTGGCCTTTGACCTGGAAATATACAGAACTTATCAAGATGGTGAGTAAGTTGGTTATAACACTGATATAAAACATATGCATCCTTTAAGGCCTCCTGAAACACCTTTCTGCCTTCATTTAACCTGAAGAATACAAATTTAAATTAGTGTTAAGATTGTAGTGACAAATTATGACAAATAACCTTCCAGGACAGACAAGTTATTTCAAATTAAGTAGTTCTGAGAAATGAGTCAGAAAAATAAATAGGGGGCTAAACAAAGAACATTTAATGAAAGCGTTATTTTCCTAGTAAATATGAGGTTGGGGAATTGAAACTGAAATAATCAGTGACACAAAATATTGTCTTAGTTATACTAGGGAGATGTTTTACTTTCACCTTCTAAGGGATTTGTTATGGGTAGCCCTATAATTAAGTTGTAATCAACACTTGCTTTTCAAAATATTTATAGATTATTTCCATATTGCCAATAATATGGAAAGCTGAGAAAACAGATTTTACAACAGCTGTTTTTGCCATGACCAACATTGGCCACTAACGTTATTCTGCAAAGTTGCAGATAACACAGAAGTTACAACAAGGTGCTGAAAACCTGGCATATTTAACATTTACAGCCTTCACGGAATATATGTGAATAGATGAAATGGCTGACATTAGGCAATTCCACTTCTTGAATGAATTACCTGAGAAATCTTTCCAGATCTTCCCTGCTGCACCGGGACCATGAAACATCTCCAAGATTCTGTCCTTTGATCCATTCTCCAGACATGATATGGAGACCATCTGCACAAGATGGGTGGTCATTGTCATGATTTATTCCCATGCTAAAAATATGAAAGTATTGAAAATATATCTTATTTAAAGTGCAAAAAAAATAGTTTTTAAGTGTTCATTACAGGGAAGTATTTTGTGTTTCCTAGAACAGGATTTCTTCCAAGTAAGAGATATGAAATTTATTTATTTATTTCAAAGTTTTGTATACCGAGCTTCTCAACCTCGTCGAGGGACTCAGCCCGGTTTACAGCCATAAAAACATATACATTCATTAAAATATCATATATCACAAATTACAAAACAACTTTAAAAACACTAAATATATATATGAAACTGCAGACCTTAACAACGAGGGTTTATGTGATAACAATTTGAAGCTGAAGCTATATTTAATTAGACATGTATTTCTCCATATTTCATCTTCATTCCTGGCAACTCCAGCCTAAGTATTGACTATTTACAAAGCACTGGGTTTTATCCAGGCAGAAATACACTTTTAGTCCCTCTGAGTTTAATGGAATGTACTCCTAGGCAGTCTTCATGAAGAATACCCAACAAATTGAACATAAGCTAGATTTCTTAAATTTCAGGAGTTCAGCAAGGTTCAAGATTGTAAATAATATTTTAGAATTTAACATGTCGACTGTGATTCTGCATTGTAACTACAAAACCTAGCTTTGAGACAATAACCCCCATCACCTTCACCAGTCAGTTCTATGAGAATGAGCAGAGATATGTCCAAATCTTCTAAGATAACTGGACACCCGTTACACAAAACTACAGGGATCTCCATAAAAATGAACTGCAGTGACATGACTAAGATCTACACCATTGTAATTCATTAACAACATGTCAGCCATGATATCCTATTTCCCTGCTGCTCTTGAGTTACTTAGACATCTACAATTTGGCTTCATATTGAATCAGACCATTGTTCCATCTAGCTCATTAGTGTCTACACTGACTTGCAAAAGTCATTTAAGTTTCTAGACAGATGTTATTGCTTCCAACCCCCCTCCCCCCAAATCATGAGTTAATATACTAAACACTGAAAGTGAACAAGGGGCCCCTGCTTTTCGGTTTTCCCACCACATATCAATGGTGTAAACTTAGGGAAACACCAAATATATTTAAATACTAGATTATTCAATGTAGAAAAAATGCACATGAACTTTAGCTTTAGCTGGTAACAGCTTTTAAAATATTGAGGTGATGTTACATGATCTTTGTTTCAGAAAAATTAACTGTAAATATTGGCTAACATAACTACAGAAGAAATTAAACCAAGAATGATTGAAACAGGGATCAAAATGAACAAGTTTATGGCACAATGATATCAATAAAGAAGGAAGCAGAAAGCTAGGGATGGGTGAACAGAGGATACTAATCATGAAAACTGACTGGGATCCATTAATACCTAGTAAAACATCAAAACCTCTCTAAATGATAGATGAAACAATGAGAAGAATTATCGGACCAGGTTCTTCAAGCATCTCTCTGTCCTCCAAAAGGAGAAAAGCTTATCTTGGGGGAAGGACAAGGATGCAACAGGCATTCCTTTGACTACTAGGGCAACTTTCATGTTCAAATGGGGATTCAAACACTGTTCACCATTCGTAGTCCAATGCTCAAACCACTACATCACATTGCTCTCCGTGTACGTATATAATCAATTTTTCATATCTAACCTAATTTTTATAGGCCATAGTCTCTATGCAAAGTACAGTGATACCTTGACATACGAGTTTAATTCATTCTGTGAACAAGCTCATAACTCAATTTGCTTGTATGTCAAAGCAAATCTCCCTATTGAAATGTATTTAAATTCAATTACGCCATTACAGCCCCCCCCAAAAAAAAACCCAACACAATTTCCCCCTTTAAGAACTCAGTCACAGAATGAATTACCATAAAATGAAAAATTTATTATGTGTCTCCCTGCCGCGTTAAAGGCCTTGCCAGCAATGTTGCCTACTGGGGGCTGAGTTGGAGGCTTCCCTGTGGTGCCTGGAGGAGGAGGAGGACTCTTGGGGCTTGAGCAGCTCTTCTCCACTGCTGCCACATCCAAGACCGTGAGCAAGACCTGCACTGGGCCCAGGGTGACCCGTGTGCTCAGTACCTGGTGGAGAAGGAGGTGCTGTGCCTTGCTGAAGGCCATGAGCAGTCCTTGCTTAAAATGATGAGTACTCTCATGCTAACGCTACCTCTCACGAGACTTTGGTTGGCTCTCTCACAAGAGCATGCGAGTACCTGCCATCTTAAGCAGGGCCAGCTTGTGGCCTTCCGCAAGGCCTTCTCTTCCACCAAGTGCTGGGTGCGCAGCTTGCAACCCGGGCCGAGCAATGGTTTGTATCTCAAAATATAAATCTGTTGGGTTGCTCGTAAGTTGAGGCATCACTTTATTGTGCTATTATTCTTGCACAACTACTCAAAGTGAGTCCACAGACCAGAATAAGACTCATTCCCAGTAAACGGTACATAGTGTACAACTGTGCAGAACAATCCAAAATGGAAAGGGGCAAACTGAGAGATCTACCACTTCATCCACAGTTCACCTTGCTCACTTTGGTGAGGGTTGAAGGGACATGTACATTCTTGACACTAGAGATAATTTTTATACCTACTATCGGAAGATTTTTTTTTACACGAGTGCCAGACCATGGTAGGGGAAGGACCAGAATTAGTCATTCAGTGAATGGTGAAAGTTTAGATCTTGTGGATTCTCACACTTCAGGAATATCCCTTTATGAAGCATCCTGTTTCCATGCTGTCTTTACTAGCAGACTTTCTCTTTACAGACAGCAAGAAAAAACATATAACATATATATCCAAGTATAACTTGATCTCATGTATAAGATGAGGGTAGGTTTGGGGGTCAAAATTAAGGATTTTGATATGACCCATGGATAAGTTGAATGTAATTCTGTTAACAGGTCAAAGGACCAATACTGCTCCAGGGGACCAATCATCTCTGGCCTCCATTCCTCTATCTAGGTGTTCAACAATCCAGAAGCAGCATGATGCTGGATAGATTAGAGTAGGACAGTGCTTTTTTAGATTCTCCCAGGAATGACTAAATTTACATCTTTCACCACTCTCCTCAGAGAAGGGGATGGTTCCTTTTTTTCATGAGTTCAGTTATAGTACTCACATTGGCTCATGGATAAGTCAACCCAGGTTTTTTGGACTGATTTTTGATAAATGACTTATAAGTGAGGGTAATATTTTCCAGCCATCAGCAACACAGAAATTAGGATTCTTCTCTTACCTATCAGAAGAGCAGAGAATTCTCCCATACCCCTGCCCATCTCACTAAATGAATAGCACTCAGACCGCACTGTTCAATGTTAATTATCCATGGTGCTGAACAACTACAGACCTATCTCCAACCTCCCTTTTCTGGGCAAGGTGCTGGAGCGGGTGGGTGCCTCTCAGCTCCAGGGTTTTCTGGATGACATCAATTACCTGAACCAGTCATAGTCTGGCTTTAGACCTGGCCACGGCACCGAGACGGCTTTGGTGACCTTGGTGGATGATCTCCGCAGAGAACTGGACAGGGGAAGTGTGACCCTGTTAGTTCTCCTGGACAGCTTTCGATACGATCGATCATGATATCCTTCTGGAACGACTCTCCGGGATGGGCCTTGAGGGCATGGTTCTATTGTGGCTCCGTTCCTTCCTGGAGGTTCGTTCCCAGTTGGTGAAGCTGGAAGACATCTGCTCAGACCCCTGGCCTTTAACCCGTGGGGTCCCGCAAGGTTCCATTCTGTCTCCCATGCTTTTTAACATCTTCATGAAACCGCTGGGTGAGGTCATCCAGAGTTTTGGAGTTGGTTGCCATCTCTACGCAGATGACACACAACTCTACTACTCTTTTCCACCTAACTCCAAGGAAGCCCCTCGGGTGCTGGATGAGTGTCTGACCGCTGTGGCTGTCTTGATGAGGAAGAACAAGCTGAAGATCAATCCCAACAAGACAGAGGTCCTCCTGGTCGATCGTAAACTGGATCGGGGTATAGGGTGGCAACCTGTGCTGGGTTACACTCCCCCTGAAGTCATAGGTCTGCAGTTTGGGTGTCCTCCTGGACTCATCACTGTCGCTTGAAGCTCAGGCGTCGGCGGTGGCCGGGAGTGCCTTCGCACAATTAAGACTCGTGCGTCAACTGCGACCGTACCTCGTGAAGGTGGATCTGGCCAGGATGGTCCATGCCTTAGTCACTTCCAGATTGGACTACTGTAATGCACTCTATGTGGGGCTGCCCTTGAAAACGGCCCGGAAATTTCAATTGGTCCAACGGGCAATGGCCAGGTTGTTAAATGGTTCTCCTTACAGGGAGAGGTCAACCCTCCTGTTTAAGGAGCTCCACTGGCTGTCATTCATTTTCCAGTCCCCATTCAAGGTGCAGGTGCTTACCTATAAAGCCCTAAACGGTTTGGGACCCACCTACCTGAGTGACCGCATCTCTGTGTACAAACCCACACAATCTCTTCGTTCATCTGGAGAGGCCCTGCTTACGATCCCACCTGCATCGCAAGCGCGATTGGTGGGGACAAGGGATAAGGCTTTCTCGGTGGTGGCCCCTCGTCTCTGTAACTCTCTCCCTAAGGACATCAGGCAGGCCCCGTCGCTAGCAATCTTTAGGAGGAGCTTGAAAACGTGGTTGTTCCAGTGTGCCTTCCCAGAATAAGGAAACTCCTAGCATTATGTCCCAACGCACTTTATCAGAGATCCAGGATATCTGTATGCCCATCCCCCACCAAACACCCCACCTGGTCATGCCCAGCACTTTTTAATTTTAACTATTACATTTGGCCCTGCAATTGTTTTTAATTGTATCATTGTGTGTTGTTAATGTTATTGCCTTGTTTTTTTAGTTATTTTGCGGTTTGTTTTTGCTGCTGTTTTTACTATTGTATTTGGGCTCGGCCTCTTGTAAGCCGCACCGAGTCCTTCGGGAGATGGTAGCGGGGTACAAATAAAGGTTTATTAAAAGTCAAAACTGTGCTTTGGAAAAATAACTATCTCATGATTGTTCTGTGGAGGGTAGAGAATGAAGGAAGACTGAAAGAACGTGGGGTTAAAAAAGCAACAGGATAAGTAACATAGCTGTGGCTGTATAAATTATTTTATGCAGCAGGTATCTCATGGTTACATAAACTTACAGATAATCTAATTTTCTGGAAGCAATGTAGCTACTAAGAGCTTGATTTAATGTAAATCTTTCTTAATCTCTCTCTTTCTCTACTTATATACATAAGACACTGCAACTGCAACTTGCTGGCCTAAATCCAAAATATGTGAACACTGTACTTTCTCTTCTGCACAGCAAACCAGCTTCCATCTGTGAAAGAAATCTTCCTGACAGGCTCTTTGGGTCCATCTTTACTTTAAAAATTCCTCAGCTGACAACCCAATAATCTCCTCTTACCCAGGAATCTGGCCTGATAGTAAAACAGAACTAGTAATGTCAGGGTAATGCAGGTGGTTTGTTTCTTCGCTTAAACCATTTCATGCTACACTTTATCTGAAAAGCTCCCATAATGGTTTACATAGATTTAAAAATAGTACAATATTTGTCCTCTGCAATCTAAAAGTCATAGTATGAAAGAAATCGGAACCCAGTGTGAGAGGATTGAATGTTAGTTCTGATTTACAAACTTATGTAAGCAATTTGGCAGATCATGGAGCAAAATCTAAGAACAATAGAAGGACGATTGCAATGGTTCCTAACCTGTGGATCCCCAGGTGTTTTGGCCTACAACTCCCAGAAATCCCAGCCAGTTTACCAGCTGTTAGGATTTCTGGGAGTTGAAGGCCAAAACCTCTTGCCTTTAAATCTAGTTCTGAGTTTAGATAGGGAAAGACCTGCTCTTTCTAAAATAGCAGCACTAGGGCAGAGAATATCCCAGGATTTCTCTGCCACTGGAAGAAGCTCTAACTACTTTGCCTCCAAGCTAGCTTTGAGTTTAGATAGGGAAAAACCTGCTCTTTCTAGTATAGCGACTCAGGGCTAGCATAGAGAGTATTCCAGGATTTCTCCACCATTGGAAGAAGTTAACTCAGCAGCTGAAGGGAAAAGTAAGAAAGGAACATCCACATAATTTTATAAGTTGACTGTTTGTATTTGTAACCTCAACAAGTTGTGCCAAGCCTGTCAAGGTCTTTGAGAAAATAAAAATCTTGTTTGATGTTCAATCTGGAGATGTCTTAGTTGCTAGGACTCCTGAGCTTCAAAGTAAGGCCCCCGCGGTCCACCCGACTAAAGAAAGAAGCACATCATAGTTTTAACCTTAAAGTGCCTAGGAGTGACTGCACAAAGGTATTATATAAATAATGGGATGGATGATATTATTGCTGAGAATGAGTTGAATAGTAGTCACAAACATGGAGGTATTGGTAAAGGGGAACTATAAGGAAGTATTCTCAACTTCCAAATGCTTCTAGCATAAGTTTGAAAGGATGTTGGTAGAAGCAGAAAAACGATTAACTCACTGAAAAGATAACATATGAACCATTCCAGTTGAAAGAGAGTGCAGGAATTAAAGCTCTTCCATTACCAGATATCTCTGTCTGACATATTTACAAAATAGCAAGGGGGAAAGTTGCTGGCAATTAAGCATTTTGGTATTATTAGATTACTTCATAGGAGCTTGGTGCTTAACTTCTTAAATGGGGGAAGCACTCCTTAAAAATGGGTAGACTGGAAATATTTGTAGAAATATCAAAGAGAAGATGAGCAATATAAGAGAGATTTTGCCAATAGGAAACACCATCAAAACAAAGAAGAAAGCTACGGCCTTTTTCTTGCACTGATCTGTTGTTGGAACACAAAATCAATAAAAAATATTTTTTTAAAAAAAAGCTACGGCCATACATTTCTAGACTGTGATAGGTTTTTCTTTTCCATTCCATTCAGTCCCCTTTGCGTTATCATCTGCTATTCTACAAAAATCATGCAAAATTTTGCTTTTAATTATGCATTTAAATATTTTTGAATGAATATTTTCTAAAACAATTTCTATCAGAAGGTTCACTTTAAATCTATATGCTTTGTGAGCAAACTTAGAAAAGAATAAAATGGGAAAGATTAGAATACTATTGAGAAAATGTGAAATAAGTCAGATTTTGTTCAAATTTGCAAATCCTCCAATACTTGCCAGAGAGAAAGAGCCACTTAACTTAATAAAAATTTGCTTTTGCATAGACATGTATAAGATTGCAGCACATGCCCACACAAAATATTTAAATAGAGAAATAGGCTTGGACAGAGATTCAACTATCACCTGTACAAAGTTGTAATTAAATGTAAAAGAAAAGAAAACAGGAGATGAAATGCAAGAATGATTTGAAACAGCAATTTAGCTGTTAAACAGAGAAGACTGAAACTGGGCCAGAGTTAAAACATCTGTTCAAAAGGTCAACGAAAGTGGAAAATGCTAGTGAATCCCAGTTGTCTTGTATTTCATAGTGTCATTTGTCAGAACCAAATGTGTGAATACTTGAGGCTAACTGGAGAGGACTACATAACTAATTGAAGATTTGTAGAGAAATTGTACATGTAATAACTTCACAACCACTCTCTGTATCATTCCAACTAAGGAAATTGTTTCGGTATTGTATTTTCACTCCACAGTTTACATGTTCCAGGCAAAGTTAAACATGTCTTAAAAACCAGGGCTGAATGTACAGTTGGATCTGGAGTTATTCTTGAAATGGTTAAGTTGCAATATTCACATTTTATTAGTCAGTTATATCCTTCCTGGAATACAGGGATATTTATTCCTTGGTAACATAACAAACTGGCCATGACATGGGGATGTCCTTTAAAACAGTATGGAAAATTCATATTATTCAGAACAGCTGCCTTTACTACTAATCATTAGCAGTAAATGTTTTAGGACTCATACTATTTTAATTTGCACCAAGTGGCTCAGGCTTCCACAATGCTCCCTAGCTTATTTTAAGATGAAGTCCAAAGGATGAGGGTCACTACTCCTAAATCAATCCTTCTGATTATTAGAATTACTTCAGTAGTCCTGGTTGACGATTTCTTATTTGACGCTCAGGCTGAGAATAGCCGGTGCAGGTATCACTGCTCAATCAGACCTGTGTTGGACACACCTCTGAAGTCTGAAAAGCAGACTATTCCTTGTTTTGTTTAACACAGATACATAATAAATTAAAAAGTATAACTCATATTTGTGATATGAGTTATACTTTTATTATGAAATTCAACAAAATAATTGCCCGATTTATTGTGGAATCCTCTATTTTATATTTACTTTGCAATTCTTACATTAGTTATAGTTTTTCAAAAAAGGTTGGAGTACATTTGGCCAGCATAGCCAATGGAGATGAATGCTGGAAGCTGTTCTTTTACAACACAGAATAAATCTGAAGGTTCCCCAAGGGCCATTAGCCATCACTATACAGTACCCCATGAAATGGACCTCTAACATCATTAAAAAAATCTCCAATAACAGAGTGCAATATCTTCTAAGGCAGTCTATTTCATTGTTCAGTAGTACTTACCCCACAAGGCAGTGCCACCTAATGTTTACTTGAAATCTCCCTTTAAAAAAACTGAGGTCTTTGGTTCAGGTGCTATCCTTTGGAACAGCAATATAAGGTTTATACACAGAGAAGCTGGCATCATGTTGGTAACTTCCAACTAGACTGGACCGTTCAATCAATTGCTAAATGGCAAGTTAACACATAGATAAATTCCATTAATTCCATGAGCCTACTCTAGTAAGATTTATGCCATACATGGAGAAAATTTCATCTACTTACTTGTGACCCATTTCATGAGCAATAGTAAAGGCAAGATTCAGGCCATTATCTTCTGCAATAATACATTTTCGTTTTTCACTGCACATCCCATTTAGATAAGCAATTCCTAGGGCAAAAAAAATCACAAACATTATATTGTGTACCACCACTGCCGCCACCATCATTACAATGTTATTATGTTCTGATATCCAATTTACTAAAATACAATCTATTTCCAACAAGAAGCACAGCAGCTTGTGACTTTATAAAGAGCAATACACAATGCAGGTGAGAAAATTGTGCCTTGCCTTGATATCATGGCACCAATTTATTCCTCCTTAACTGCTTAAATCAAATGAAATGGGAAAGTTGTGATGATATGATGAACAAGCAAACTGTGAATAAATTAAAAAAAATAACTGAATAAATGAACTCACTAGAAAGGCACTCAGTTTTTAAAAAAGATATCGAACAAATGAATTGAACATTTATGTTGGCATGTTCATGCTGCATTTTCCTCAAACATATAGCAATACAAGTTCAGTATTTTGAAAATGAAATACTTTAATACAGATGCAAAGGCAGTCTGGCTGTTCGCTGCATCCAGGTAGAGTACAGTGAGAAAAAAATAATGATGATGCTGACAGTTCTAAGATTACTGTAAATATCTTTGAAGAAAAGTCCTCAGTTTATTTTTGTTAAAACATAGGCCCTATCTGCACTCCCATTTAAAGCAGTGTAGCGGACATATTATCCTGATGACACCTCAGGATAATGTTGATTAACCTGGAAAAAAACCTGGAATCTCAGGGTTAATCCAGGTTTTATAAAGACCTGGACAGATTCAGACTTCTCAGGTATGGGCCTTATGGGGACTACCTCCTGGAATCACCATGTATGATCCCAGGGGGCAATCCCTACAACCACTACACCTTCACAGGTTCAGACAGTCCACAGAGATGTGATGACAGTGCCGTTCTCTCCCCCCCTCACCCCCCCGGACCCTGTTTTGCCATTAAAAAATGAAGAAGCCACTCCTTACTGGGTCTGGAGACTTCTGCAGGCCCTGTTTTGGAACTAATTGATACAACAGAGTTTATTTATTTATTTAGAAGTTTTATATACCAGTCTTCTCACCTCCAGGGAGGGACTCAGGCCGGTTCACAACATGTATTCATATACAGTAATATACAAAAAAAGCACAATGCATCATCATTATACATTAAAATATAAGTACAATAAAACATCACCATCACATTACACAAGCCAAGTCGTCCGTACAGTCACCTTTCATCGCCATCCTTCCATGTGGACAAGGGTTATTGACTCAATCCTCAAATGCCACATTCCAAAGCCAGGTTTTTATTAGTTTCCTAAAGGTCAGGAGGGAAGGAGCAGATCTAATCTCTGGTGGGAGGGAATTCCAAAGCTTATGCCCTTAAACTGAAGTCAGCTTGAGCAGCATTCTTTTTCGAATCCATGCTTTGAATGTCTGTGTTGGCCACCACAAAACGCCACCGCAGCTTGAATTAGGGGCAGAGCAAAGCGAAGCCTGGTGGGCCCCCCTTGGTATGGCACACGACAGAATCTCCACCTGGGCAACAATGTTGGCATGCAGCGGCACCACAACCACCAGGTGTGGTGGCCCATCCTTACGGCCCAGGTTCCGCTTCTCTTCTAGCATGGCTTCCTTTCGTTGTTGGCGGAATTGCCAGGCCTGGTTCTTGCGGTCCAGCTTGGTTAATGTGCGACACTGCTGCTGACTAAAGGTCTTGACAGGGATGCGGCCGGCCTGCCTCTGGGCGTTGTTCCCATGGTGCTTCTGAATTCCTCCCTCTCCTCTCCAAAGCTCCATATCATTTCAACTTGCAATTGAGCCTTCAGTCTAGGGAAGGGGCCATTTCTTCATTTTTAACAGCAAAACAGGGTCCAGGGAGGGCAAGAATCCGGTGATCATGCCCACATGTGCCAACATCAGTTTGGCACAGGTGGATGTCTGGCCAATTCCTCCCAAAAAGGAGCCGATCCTTGATAACCAAGGCAAGGTCATCTTAAACCAGCCTTGTTTTGGGTTATCCGGTTGGGGTAAAGCCTAAATTCTGGAGCAGAATTTGGGCTTTCCTCAGCTTTGGTCAGCTGTGAATACAGTTGGTCACTTACACTGCACTGCATTCAAAGAAGTGAGTTTACATCAATGAATGCTCAAGCAAAAACAATACAACAAAAACCAGTCAGTTTTAAAAGTGGTCCACCCCCATTTTCCTTCTTTTTATCCTGTAGAAAGTAACTGAAAATTACTTTGGCCTCCAAATTTAACAACAGTTTAGATGCAACTTGATTTGAAATATTTAAATGTAGAACCAAAAGTGGCTGGTCACTCTTTAAGTGTTTATACATCAAAGAGCTGTATGCAGTATTTTATATATAGGGGTCAGCCCTGGTTAATCCTTGGATAAATGCCAACAAAGACCACACACTATAAGCTACATTTCAGAAGAAGGAACTGGCAGAACTGCCTCTGAGTATTTGTAAAACCCTATGAAATGCATAAAGTTGCCACAAGTCAACAGAAGGAACATTCACACTATTTAGCATGATCTGGACGAAAGAGAACAAACTGAAACTTAACCCAGAGAAGACAGAGGAGCTCCTGGTCAATCAAAAAGCTGATCAACCTTTGCTGAACGGGGCTACACTGCCCCTGAAAATTTAAGTCTGCAACTTAAGCGTGACCCTGGAGTGAGCCTTGAGCCTGGAAGCACAGGTTTTTATTTGTTAAAACATCTGATATGTTTGAGCCTGTGAATGCTCTTTAGGTCATTTTCAGTGAACTATATGAAAATCACAAAAGAACATTACTAAATCTTTGTATATTATTTTATAAGCTATACATTGCTACTTCAAATCAAAGCAGTAGAAAGTTCTCAGCCAGGAAATCCAAAACTACTTAGTAAAAGAATGAAAGCAAATATAGATAACCAAAGGGTGTATGTATGTGTGTGTGTGTCTATATATATATATATATATATATATATATATATATATATATATATATATATAAGCTCTGAAACATTGTCTCCAACTTTAGAAGATGTCTATAACAGTGGAAGGTAATAAATTCACTCAATTCTACCTACTTTTCCAGAAGAATTCTTTCATCATTAGAGTTCACTTTATCTTTCTACAAAATCTGACATCTGTAACATAATGCTGTTGTTTCATGATGAAGAGCACCTGTTTCTCAGTTTCTTACATTGAAAAGAGTTGCCTCTATACATTTCTGGTTGATCACCTTATATTTGACATCTGAACTGAACAATCTGAACAAAAAAATGCCATCACAGATGGTAAAATGATCTAAATTGGGAGAGGGAGGTTTGAAGTTTGAGGTCTTTGATATCTTTTATCTTGGAGGTCTATGTGCCATACACCCAGTTGTCGGACTTGTGTTCTGTAGGTCTGATTATAACCATCAGAGTCTTTTACAGAATGTTTGTCTGTGTTCCTTGAATGTGCTCTTCACTAGGATGTGAGAGCATGACTTTAGTAAATAAAGTATATCTTTTTAGCATCTTGTGAAGTAACTTATTTTTCTTGGGGAAATCGTTTTGCTGACCTTGATTCCAGCCTGGACTAAGAGCTCTCCATCACAGAATTTCAATCACCCCAGAGAAATACAAACCCCCAACTGCACAGAATGAAGCTGTTATCGTTAAGTGGTATCAAGTTGCTATTACTGTTTGATGTAGCAAGAATTTGAGACTGAACAACTGGCTGAATATAACTCTCTCTCTCTGTTTTCCCCTAAGAATCTAGTATTCACAAACAAAAAGAAGAAGAAGAAGAAGGGAGGGGGGAAAGAAAAATAGGAGAGATACAAGAAAATCTATTTTGTCTCTACCAGGAAAGAAACAAATGCATCCACTTCTCCCAACTTGAGTGAATATGCTAAACAGGCTGCAAAGGTTCTGCTTAAAACAAAACAGTAGATATATCAGAAGTCTTGAAGAAATGAGAGAATCCCTGATTGTAGATTTGCTATTACTTTGTGAATCACAGTAGGTTGACAAAAGTGGGACAGAGATTCCACATCTTCAATGATGGCCTCCATTTATCACTTCGTCACAGAAAAATTAATGCTTAATACAGTCCAAACACTTTAGTGTACCTATCAGTGGACTGATAACTCTCTTCCACAATGAAACCATTGTGTTCTTCAGTCAGAGTAGTTCTGAGTTGGGTTAGAGGATGCACTGACAGAAAACATACACATCAGATTTACACTGGTGCTTTTAATTTTGCTAATTAACAGGGGTCCTGTCTGATTTATTATACAAACATAATAGGAATGGTAAAGGAAACACAGTACAGAATTAACCAAGCAAGGTTCTCAGTGGGCTGATTAGAAAAATCTACCAACAATACACAAAATCAATATTAAATTACTTTAGCTTTTCCTTTAGCTGGGTTACAAGGCAGATAATTCTTTAAAAGATATGCTTCCGGGACTATATATACTAGGATGAGGAACCTTTTTTCCTCACCTGATGGCTGATTTCATTGTGGGATAGCATTTCATTGCAGGGATTCATTGGTGGCATGTGGACACACAATCTATCTTAATAAACCCAGAATATACATATACAATACTTCCTTGCTCCCCCAAAGATCTTAAATAAGAGTTGATATAGACAGCCTTAGCCACACAGTACCAATTAACATAAAACCAAAGCTAACTTTTAATGCAGTCCTCAGAGAAAACAATAATAATTTGAAAAGTAAATTCAATTTATAAATATTTTCTGGAAATGATACTTTTAATGTATCAAAAATAATATTTTATGTCAAGCAAAGGCACACAGAATGTGTTAGATTTGTGAAAGGCTTTTTACTGCAATTACCTCTCTTCAGAATTTCTGGTAATTTTATATCTCTGTTGTTGTTCATTCGTTCAGTCGTCTCCGACTCTTCGTGACTTCATGGACCAGCCACGCCAGAGCTCCCTGTCGGCCGTTACCACCCCCAGCTCCCTCAAGGTCAGTCCAGTCACTTCAAGGTTGCCATCCATCCATCTTGCCCTTGGTCGGCCCCTCTTCCTTTTGCCTTCCACTTTCCCCAGCATAATTGTCTTCTCTAGGCTTTCCTGTCTCCTCATGATGTGGCCAAAGTACTTCAACTTTGTCTCTAGTATCTTTCCCTCCAATGAGCAGTCGGGCTTTATTTCCTGGAGGATGGACTGGTTGGATCTTCTCGCAGTCCAAGGCACTCTCAGCACTTTCCTTCAACACCACAGTTCAAAAGCATCGATCTTCCTTCGCTCAGCCTTCCCTAAGGTCCAGCTCTCACATCCGTAGGTTACTACAGGGAATACCATGGCTTTGACTAGGCGGATCTTTGTTGCCAGTGTGATGTCTCTACTCTTCACTATTTTATCGAGATTGGACATTGCTCTCCTCCCAAGAAGTAAGCGTCTTCTGATTTCCTGGCCACAGTCTGCATCTGCAGTAATCTTTGCACCTAGAAATACAAAGTCTGTCACGGCCTCCACGGTTTCTCCCTCTATTTCCAGTTGTCAATCTTTCTTGTTGCCATAATCTTGGTTTTTTTGACGTTTAGCTGCAACCCGGCTTTTGCGCTTTCTTCTTTCACCTTGATTAGAAGGCTCCTCAGCTCCTCCTCGCTTTCGGCCATCAGAGTGGTGTCATCTGCATAACTGAGGTTGTTAATGTTTCTTCCAGCAATTTTCACCCCAGCTTTGCATTCATCCAGCCCCGCACATCGCATGATGTGTTCTGCATACAAGTTAAAAAGGTTGGGTGAGAGTATGCAGCCTTGCCGTACGCCTTTCCCAATCTTGAGCCAGTCTGTTGTTCCGTGGTCAGTTCTGACTGTTGCTACTTGGTCCTTGTACAGATTCCTCAGGAGAGAGACAAGGTGGCTTGGGATGCCCATCCCACTAAGAACTTGCCACAATTTATTATGATCCACACAGTCAAAGGCTTTAGAATAGTCAATGAAGCAGAAGTAGATGTTTTTCTGAAACTCCCTGGCTTTCTCCATTATCCAGCGGATATTGGCAATTTGGTCTCTCGTTCCTCTACCTTTTCTAAACCCAGCTTGAACATCTGGCAACTCTCGCTCCATGTATTGCTGGAGTCTTCCTTGCAGGATCTTGAGCATTACCATACTGGCATGTGAAATAAGGGCCACTGTACGGAAGTTTGAGCAGTCTTTCGCATTTCCCTTTTTTGGTATGGGGATATAAGTTGATTTTTTCCAGTCTGATGGCCATTCTTGTGTTTTCCATATTTGCTGGCATATGGCATGCATCACCTTGACAGCATCATCTTTTAAGATTTTAAACAGTTCAGCTGGGATCCCGTCGTCTCCTGCTGCCTTGTTGTTAGCAATGCTTCTTAAGGCCCATTCAACTTCACTCCTCAGGATGTCTGGTTCTAATTCATTCACCACACCGTCATAACTATCCTCAATATTATTATCCTTTCTATACAGATCTTCTGTATAGTCTCGCCACCTTCTCTTGATCTCTTCAGCTTCTGTTAGGTCCCTGCCATCTTTGTTTCTTATCATACCAATTTTTGCCTGAAATTTACCTCCCATGTTTCTAATTTTCTGGAAGAGGTCTCTTGTCCTTCCTATTCTGTTGTCTTCCTCCACTTCCATGCATTGCTTATTTAAAAATAGTTCCTTATCTCTTCTGGCTAACCTCTGGAATTGCGCATTTAACTGGGCATATCTCCCCTTTTCACTGTTTCCTTTTGCTTTCCTCCTTTCTTGGGCTACTTCCAGTGTCTCAGCAGACAACCATTTTGCCTTCTTGGTTTTCTTTTTCTTTGGAACGTACTTTGTTGCCGCCTCCTGAACAATGTCGCGGACTTCTGTCCATAGTTCTTCTGGGACTCTGTTTACTAAATCTAGTCCTTCCAATCTGTTCTTCACTTCCACTGTATATTCGCTAGGAATGTTAGTGAGATCATATCTAACTGGTCTGTGTATTTTCCCTGATCTCTTTATTTTTATTCTAAATTGGGCAATAAGAAGTTCGTGATCTGAGCTACAGTCAGCCCCAGGTCTTGTTTTCACCGACTGGATGGATGTCCGCCACCTTTGGCTGCAAAGGATGTAGTCAATCTGATTTCGGTGTTGACCATCTGGTGAGGTCCATGTGTAAAGCCGTCTTTTAGGTTGTTGGAAGAGAGTATTCGTTATACACAGCGAGTTTTCCTGGCAAAATTCTATCAGCCTGCTTCCCGCTTCATTTTGTTCTCCCAGACCATGCTTGCCTGTGATCCCAGTTGTCATTTGACTTCCCACCTTGGCATTCCAGTCTCCTGTAATGAAAATAATGTCTCTTTTTGGTGTATTATCCAGTAGGTCCTGCAGATCCTCATAGAACTGATCTACTTCTGCTTCTTCAGCAGCTGTGGTTGGGGCGTATATTTGGATCACTGTAATGTTGAAAGGCTTTGCTTGCACTCGAATTGAGATCATTCTGTCATTTTTTGGGTTGTATCCAAGCACCGCTTTAGCGAATTTCTTATTAATTATGAAGGCTACTCCATTTCTTCGATGTTCCTCTTGTCCGCAGTAGTAGATCTGGGGGTCATCTGATGTGAAGTGGCCCATTCCAGTCCATTTCAGTTCGCTGACCCCCAGAATGTCTATCTTTAGTCTTGACATCTCACCAATAACAACATCCAATTTGCCCAGGCTCATAGATCTTACATTCCAGGTTCCTATGGTGTGTTGATCTTTAGAGCATCGGATTCGTCGTTCACCTCCAGTACCGTCGGCCGCTAGCCTTCCTTTCGGCTTTGAGCTAGCTGCGTCATCACATCTGGGGCTAGTTGAACTTATCCTCTGCTCCTCCCCCGTAGCCTTTTGGCCATCTTCCGACCTGGGAGTCCCATCTTCCAATGGCATACCGACATATCTCTGGTTGTACTGGTCCATTTAGTTTTCTTGGCAAGGATACTGGAGTGGTTTGCCATTGCCTTCCCCAGGGATCGCGCTTGGTCTGACCTCTCTGCCACAACCGTCCCGTCTTGGGTGGCCCTTCACGGTTTCGCTCATGACATCATTGAGGTGCTCAAGCTCCAGCGCCCCGACAAGGCGGTGATCCTTTGCTGGAGTTTATATCTCTAGCCTTGTACAATCTACAGCATCCTCCAAACACATGGCTCAAGCCAAAATGATTTTTAAAAAGCTAGATGGCAAAAGCATACCTATGATCTGCATTCCCAGTTTTCAGGATAATCAGCTTCCAGTAGCTTTGTTTAAAATTTAAACAAAATTAATGAAATATAATTATATTGAGAGAAGATTATTCCTTTTTCTCATGAGAACGGCTGTGGAAAGAAATCTTCTCTTTAAAGTTGAACATTTAAACAACCTTAAAGACAAGATTTCTTACCATAGCAATTCTCAATATAACAACAATTTGTTACCTGCCTCTCCACACAGCTATTAAAAGCAATGCTCAGAACAAAAAGCATAAACAGTAAGTTTCTAGTTCAATATGGTCATGGTAACAGAAATATCAGTAATTTGCAGAACATCATCTCAACTGTCTTACTAGGAATACTTGGGGAAGGGGGAGGATTACACTCCACTTTTTCATTCCAAAGAGGGCATGATATACACTTTGGAGTTTTCAGCTGCAACAGTAATATTTTTTCAACTCACCAGGATAAAAATTATTTTCACTTTAATGTTTTGTATCTGACATTTTTATTATTTTAAAAATATCAGTCATTTAGGTGTTTTGTTCTTTTTTTGTTTTACTTTTATAGAAGAATGAATAAAAATGGAATGCATTGCTGCTCCTTACTATACACAAAAGTCTGGTAAAAAAACATCTGAGAGATGCTTCTGTCATTCCCAAATTTCTTGATTAACTCTTTTGAAAAAAGTTATATTTCTGGAATCTACATCCTCCAGGAAATAAAGCCCGACTGCTCATTGGAGGGAAAGATACTAGAGACAAAGTTGAAGTACTTTGGCCACATCATGAGGAGACAGGAAAGCCTAGAGAAGACAATTATGCTGGGGAAAGTGGAAGGCAAAAGGAAGAGGGGCCGACCAAGGGCAAGATGGATGGATGGCATCCTTGAAGTGACTGGACTGACCTTGAGGGAGCTGGGGGTGGTAACGGCCGACAGGGAGCTCTGGCGTGGGCTGGTCCATGAGGTCACGAAGAGTCGGAGACGACTGAACGAATGAACAACAACACAGATGATTACAAAATATCAAAGTCAAACTATGCAGTATTACTTTATTTCTTATTAAGCAGAGTTGACCTTGTGCTTGAAAGCCACATCAAACGCCTGCTACTGAATGTAAATCAACCAACTACTAGTTGTGAACTAAGTTCAAGTCTTGTCCTTTGTTATTAATGTCATGTGTTAAGCAACAGAAACTGGCTTCAAGTGAGCAGCTGCTCCTACTTAGCAATCACAGCATTAGGTAAAAGAAAGATTTTCTTTAAATATACATATATGTTCTCTGCTTCTTCCTGTGGCTTATTAACACAGCTGGAATGGTTCCAAGGTTAAATCCACTAAAAGTAGGGGCGGAGAGTGAACAATTGATCTTTTGTAATGATCTTTCTCCAGTCAATCCCATGGATTTTTACAAAACTGGAAATTAACACCTTTGCCTGAAACATCTCTGCTTGAAACCAGTAGGAGAATTCTGATAATTTTTACAAAGAAAATTGTAAGGAAGGGGAAGTTGAAAGAGCTGATGTTTTCTGTGTGCAAGAACACAAAACAGGACTGAAGACATAATCAGATACATACATTAACTCAAAAGTAACTCTCAATGAGTTCACTGGGAATTGAACCCAAATGTGTGCATTTGAACTATAGCCTTAGTTTATGAAGAATACAACTGAAAGTTGAGCGTAAGTATAAGGAGAAACTGTTTGGTCAGCCTATACATTCAGATCCAACTGATACCAAGCTATCATTTGGCTTTGAGCAGTAGAAAAGACATAGCAGCCATATGCAAAAACCATCTTCAATGATACTTGAGATCCTTCCTGTTGAGGTATTGACTTCTTTGAAATTCGGTTTCATGCAGAGATGGAAAAAGTGTGACTGGTGGGCTCCATTATCATGGCTTCCCAATCTCTCTACAAAGCCTTCAAATCTCCATATTTCTTTTTAAAGCTGATTTTTCACACACACAAAAAGCCACAAAGCATACCTCCAAATTGCCTTAGAATGCAGCAATTCACTTTATACCAAATCCCATATGCTACTCCTGCAGGTTTAACACAACATTTGCTTCTGGTAACCCAGGGAAGCTGCTGTCTACACAACTACACACCACATTTAAAAAAGATACCACTGGCACAGTTGTCATACTGGAAACACCCAAGTTTTAAACCTTATCTGAGTTCTATCCTTAAAATAGGTTCATCATCTTGGACAGCTCTTTTCAAATCTCGACGAAAATGTGGGCAGGATTCTCTACTTCTGCTACAAGGAATCCAAGCATTTCACCATACCCAAACCCACTTATATTAAATTAACCCTATTGGGCCAGGAAATATGGAGAACAAACTTAAAGAAAAGTTTTGTTCTGAATATCTAAAAAAAGAGGAGAAAGCCAGACAGGTTTATGAGAGTTAAAATTAAGAGTTAAACTTAAAAGAAAGCCATTGCACTCTAGTTAATTATACCATCTTGAACGATCATCTTTAAGAACCTTAGGAAAACTCCTCCGACAGCGCTTAACAGCTACCACTCATGACATTGCCCTGGCAATTGTTAATTTTGTTGTTGATTGCTTATGGTGGAGAGTGGGAACGGAATAGATCTGTAAGATCTGAGTTTAACAAAGCAGGAGTGGAAAGTGGATGGAAGGTAGGACTATGGCAATCTGAAGCCACAACATATCATATAGTTAATAATGAATTGTTTGTTGATACTGTGGCCGTTCAATGCGTCATGGAGGAGGGAGAGGGTTCCGCTAACCGGGGAGCCCCCATAGAAGTCGTGGTGGGGAGGGGGAGATACGGGAAAGGGAGACCTTTAATTCGACCTAGGGAACGGGGGCGGGGAACAACGTTAGTAATTCCAAAGCGGTCTCCTGATATGACAAGTTGGTGTAACCAGGATGGCGGTCCCTCCGGATTGAAAGTGGTGCTGTTGAACGCCAGATCTGTCAATGGTAAAACAACTTTCATCCAGGATTTAATCCTGGATGAACGGGCAGATCTGGCGTGCATCACGGAGACCTGGCTGGACGAAGCGGGAGGTGTAAATTTGACCCAGCTTTGTCCACCAGTTCTCTGTGCAGCACCAACCGAGATCCGGAGGGCGGGGAGGCGGAGTTGCAGTGGTCTATAGAGATTCCATTCTTCTGACCAGGGCCCCCATCCCGCAGTCAACAAATTTTGAATGCGTCCACCTGAGGGTGGGTGACCGGGACAGATTAGGGATTCTGTTAGTGTACCGTCCACCTCGCTGCACTACTGACTCCCTGACTGAGCTAGCGGGGGTGGTCTCGGACCTGGCGTTGGAGTCCCAACGGCTGCTTGTGCTGGGGGACTTCAATGTCCATGCCGAGGTCGCCCTATCGGGAGCGGCTCAGGACTTCATGTCTACCATGGCAACCATGGGGCTGTCCCAACAGGTATCTGGCCCCACCCACAGTGCTGGACATACATTGGACTTGGTTTTCTGTCAGGGATGGGAGGAAGGTGGCGGTGTTGAGGAGTTAACCATCTCTCCGTTGCCGTGGACCGACCACCACCTGGTCAGCTTTAGACTCACTGCACCCCCCAACCTCCGCAGAGGTGGAGGACCCATTAAATTGGTCCGCCCCAGGAGGCTTATGGATCCGGATGGATTCCTGATGGCTCTTGGGGAATTTCCCGCCACCTCGGTTGGTGATCCTGTTGATGCTCTGGTCGCTCTCTGGAATGGGGAGATGACTAGGGCAATAGACACGATCGCTCCAGAACGTCCCCTCTCAAGTAGCCGAGCTAAACCAGCTCCTTGGTTTACCGAGGAGCTGGCAGCGTTGAAGCGAAAGAAGAGGGAACTAGAGAGCGTGTGGCGTTCGGATCCGAGCGAGCCAAACCGAACACGGTTTGTGTCCTTTTTAAGGGCATATGCCGTGGCAATAAAGGCCGCAAAGAAATCTTTCTTCGCGGCCACTATTGCGTCTGCGAAGAACCGTCCGGCGGAGCTGTTCCGAGTTGTCAGAGGCCTTTTAAAACCCGCCACTCAGGATGGGTGCCCTGATGACTCGGCAGCTCGCTGCGAAGCTTTTGCTCGGGTCTTCGCAGACAAAGTCGCTTTGATCCGCTCTGGACTGGATACCATATTAACGGCAGTATCTGAGGATGTAACACGAGCATCTGCTTGTCCGGTTTTGATGGATTCATTTCAATTGGTGAAACCCGAGGATGTGGACAAGATACTTGGAGGAATGAGAGCAACCACATGCATCCTAGACCCCTGCCCATCCTGGCTTCTAAAGGAGGCCAGAGGGGGATTGGCTGAGTGGGTGAAGGTGGTGGTTAATGCCTCCCTTCGGGAAGGCAAAATTCCAGCCAGCTTAAAGCAAGCTGTTATAAAACCGCTGTTGAAGAAACCATCACTGGACCCCACTCAATTCGTCAACTATCGGCCTGTTTCCAATCTCCCCTTTTTGGGCAAAGTCATGGAACGTGTGGTGGCCGCACAACTCCAGGCATTCTTGGTAGACACGGATTATCTGGATCCGGCACAGTCTGGCTTTAGGCCGGGGCATGGTACTGAGACAGCCTTGGTCGCCTTAGTGGATGATCTGCGTCGGGAGCTCGACAGGGGGAGTGTCCCTGTTGGTGCTGCTGGACCTCTCAGTGGCCTTCGATACCGTCGACCACGGTATCCTTCTGGGACGCCTCGCGGGGATGGGTCTTGGAGGTACTGTTTTACAGTGGCTCCGGTCATTCCTGGAGGGTCGGTCTCAGAAGGTGTTACTGGGAGACACCTGTTCAACCCCACAACCTTTGTCTTGTTGGGTTCCTCAGGGTTCAATACTGTCTCCCATGTTGTTTAACATCTACATGAAGCCGCTGGGGGAGATCATCCGGAGTTTCGGAGTGAGATGTCATCTGTACGCAGATGATGTCCAACTCTGTCACTCCTTTCCACCTGCTACTAAGGAGGCTGTCGAGGTCCTGAACCGGTGCTTGGCCGCTGTGACGGTCTGGATGGGGGCGAACAAATTGAAATTGAATCCAGACAAGACAGAGGTACTCCTGGTCAGTCGTACCGAACAGGGTATAGGATTACAGCCTGTGTTGGATGGGATCGCACTCCCCCTGAAGACACAGGTTCGCAGTTTGGGTGTGATCCTGGACTCATCGCTGAGCCTGGAACCCCAGGTTTCGGCGGTGACCAGGGGAGCATTCGCACAATTAAAACTTGTGCGCCAACTGCGACCGTACCTTGGGAAGTCCGACTTAGCCACGGTAGTCCACGCTCTGGTTACATCCCGCCTTGATTACTGCAACGCTCTCTACGTGGGGTTGCCTTTGAAGACAGCCCGGAAGCTCCAACTAGTCCAACGGGCGGCAGCCATGGTACTAACAGGAGCGGGGCGCAGGGAGCATACAACTCCCTTGCTGAACCAGCTCCACTGGCTGCCGATATGCTACCGGGCTCAATTCAAAGTGCTGGCGTTGGCCTTTAAAGCCCTAAACGGTTCTGGCCCAACTTATCTATCCGAACGTATCTCAGCCTATCAGCCCACCAGGACCCTAAGATCTTCTGGAGAGTCCCTGCTCTCTATCCCGCCGGCTTCACAAGTGCGGCTGGCAGGAACGAGAGACAGGGCCTTTTCTGTGGTGGCCCCTCGGCTTTGGAACACCCTCCCTATAGAGGTACGATCAGCCTCCTCGCTGATGGTGTTTCGGAAGAGATTGAAAACATGGTTGTGTAAACAAGCATTCGGTTAGTTTGTTATCACCGAATTTTATGGACTAAGGACTGGTTAATTATGGATGACGAATTCTGGACTGTGATTTTAGTGACGAGATACATGGTATTATTATTGGTGGCCCAATAATTTGTATTGTCTATGTGTTGTTGTTTTAAATTGTATATTGTTTTTAATTGTTGTAAACCGCAATGAGTCGCCGACTTAGGCTGAGATATTAGCGGTATACAAGTGTATTAAATAAATAAATAAATAAATAAATAAAATAATGAAGAACTTCCAGTGAAGATCAGAAAACATGCTGCTAAAAACATTCCCAATTGTTGAAAAGGGGAAAATCAAATTTGAGGAGCTAATGAAGTATGATGGACGGGAAAGTAAATAAGCTTGCAGCATATTTTAGGAAGATATCCATGTACAAGAGTTTGGAACGAAGGAAACAAAATATGAAGGTAGATTTTGTTAATATATACATGGAGAATTTTGGCTGAATTTCAGCCAAGAACGGAATTTACTTTAGGTGCGGGGAGAAGGACAAGCAGCAGATAACCCAAAAACCTGTTTCAGAGGACTTCAGAACATTTCACTACTAGCTTTTAGGCAGCTCTGAGGGCTGTGAGATAAAAGAGAAGAGTCAAAAACTGAAATGAATATTGGATTTAGATCCAGGTCTTTGAGTGCACCACAAAACACAAAGGAAGTTTTGGGGAGAGGGGGCTAAAGAATCACAGTCATAGAATTGGAAGAGACCACAAGAGCTAACCAACCAGTGCAACCTCCTGCCCTGTATTAGAAGACTAGAATATGGGAGGATATGAGGATATAAGGATATGATTATCTTCATGCCAAAAACAAGAACAACCATACACATCTCAGAACTAAATCAGAATGAATATTTGTTTAAATTTTTTTAATAAAAATTATAAACACATGCCATATTTAAAACAAGATTGTCTCATTTTAGAATGAATTATAGCAACTATTACTGCTAAATAGTATTAGAATTTAACATGTATATTTCTCATTGTAATAGTACAAGATCTTTGAATATAAACTGCAATACACCAAACCATCAGATCTCAAACCACTCAAAAGTCTTCAGTTGTCATAATTTCCTCTGAATACATTTGAAATGCATTAAATCATAGAAATACCAACTGTGATAAATATTATATTCATGTATTTCTATCTCCTTTTTAAAAAAACAAACAAACAAGTGTTTCTGAGATGCACATATTTCAGAGCATGACTTGGGGGAAATTAACTTTGACTTGCAGCTCTGTTTCTAAGAAACTAATATTCATTTTCTTTCAGAATACCGAGTGTTTCCCATTAGGGAAAAGGGGAGGAAGAGGAGGAGGGCAAAGAGCTTTCTTCGCCGATGTTATTTAAGAGGTACAAAAATATGCTACTTGGAAAGTGTTCCATGCTATAACATAGAGTAGAGGGAAAAAAAGATGACTAATTTGTCACTTATAGCACAGCTATATACATATCTAATTTAGAGTTCGACTGAGTTGAAGAAGATTTACTCCACAATATACTGATATAGGCTGCAACTTTCAAACATGTTAATGTAGAGCTATGAGAAGAAAGAAGAGCCAAATCCTGAAAAAGAAACATGAAACAAAGCTATAGGGCAAGTGCAATCACACTGCATCTCTAGTGATATAATGAAATTA